CTGCGAAGCTTTAACGCAGCTTTATCGGACTATGCTCCTACTTCCGACGCTTCGTGAAAAATTTTGCGCACATAGCGAGGCCGCTTACGCAGCTCCTCAAGAAAGAAGTCCCGTTTTCATGGGGCTCCGAAGAGGCTTCTGCGTTCTCGACTCTCGTCGCTCTTCTCACTACCCCTCCGATTCTGGCACACTTCAACCCTGCTGCCCCTACGGAAATCCGTACAGATGCAAGTGGGCATGGCATTGGTGCAATGCTGGCTCAGAAACAACATGGCCATGATTGCGTTATTGCATACGCCAGCCGCCTCCTATCCGCCCCTGAACATAACTACGCTCACGCTCTGTATTCCATAACAGAGCGTGAGTGCTTGGCTCTTGTATGAGCGGTGGCGAAATTTCGACCTTATCTATACGGACGCCCATTTTCGGTAGTTACCGACCACCACGCACTCTGCTGGCTCAACTCTCTGAAAGATCCATCAGGCCGCCTTGGTCGCTGGGCTTTGCGCCTGCAAGAGTTTTCCTATTCGGTGGTCTACAAATCTGGCCACCTACACCATGATGCCGATTGCCTCTCCCGGTACCCTGTCGACGATCCTGAGGACACTGACGAGCCCACGGAGAACTCTATCTTGTCAGTGTCCGACTCCCTTAATATTGGGGAAGAACAGAAGTGTGATCCAGAGCTGCTTGACATCATCAGCCGTATGAAATCCTCCACAAATGATGCTTCCGTCCGCTACTTTGTCATTCAAAAGGGTGTGCTATATCATCGCAATTTCTGACTAGACGGGCCCGACCTTCTCATTGTTGTGCCTAAGCATTTGCGCCGCTGTGTTCTCACCGAACTTCACGACACTTCCACGACTGGACACCTTGGCGTATCCCGCACGTACGAGCGCGTCCGGCGCCGTTTTTTCTGGCCAGGCCTTGCTCGTTCGGTACGCCGATACGTTGCCACGTGTGACCTATGCCAACGACATAAAACACCGTCGCTGCTACCCGCTGGCTATCTTCAACCAATTGACATACCCGCTGCAACCATTTTACCGTGTTGGTTTAGACCTGCTTGGTCCTTTTCCCACATCAACATTGGGAAACAAATGGATAGCTGTTATTACAGACTACGCTACACGCTACGCTATTACGCGAGCTCTACCGACCAGCTGTGCAACCGACGTCGCTGACTGCTTGTTACGGGACGTTATATTGATTCACGGTGCTCCGAGACAGATTCTCACAGACCGTGGCCGTACATTTCTATCCCAAGTCATCGCCGACATTCTGCGTTCTTGTTCCACGCAACATACACTGACAACCGCTTACCACCCTCAAACAAACGGCCTCACGGAACGATTTAACCGCACTTTAACAAATATGCTCGCTATGTACGTGTCACCCGACCACCGAGACTGGGACCTTGCCTTACCCTACGCAACTTTCGCGTATAATTCATCCCGTCACGACACAGCGGACTTTTCGCCGTTCTACTTATTGTACGGAAGAGAGCCAACTTTACCACTAGACACAGTCATCTCAGCTTACACCTCGTCCACCAGCGAGTATGCCCGCGACGCGATTGCGCGAGCCGATTATGCCCGTCAGCTCGCTCGCGCTCGGCTGATGGCGTCGCAAACCAACCAATGCCGTCGGTACGATGCGGAACATAGAGACGTACATTTTGCTTCCGGTACCCTCGTTTTACTCTGGTCCCCTCATCGTCGGCTGGGCCTATCCGAAAAACTTCTGTCTCAGTACAGGGGACCCTACCGTATATTGCGTCAAGTAACACCTGTCACCTACGAGATCAGCCCCATCTGTCCATCATCATCTACTATGCGGCCCGGTGATATCGTACAAGTCTCGCGGATCAAGCCCTACAATAATGCGTCAGATAACGACCTTTAAAGCACCGGGACGGTGCCTCCGCCGCCGGGGGTCATGCTACGTGCCAGTGCATGGAGCTGAAGAAGACAAAGCAGATAGACTGGCACGAGCTAATCGGTGTGGCTGGCGCTGCTCGCCTAACCGGCTGTAAATACATCAGTGACTACCTCTCTGATTCAGTCTCCTTCCCGTAACAATATGTATATGTGTGTGTGTGTGCGCACGGAGGCTGATCTTAATAAAAACAAATTCAATTTTTCTCTCTCTGCTAGGAGAAAAATGGATTAAAAGCGCATCAAAGCTTAGTAAATTTTGTCTTGATAAAGGTCAGTCTTCAGTCGAAACGTTGACAAATGAAGTTCTTTAGAAACATATACCTTTCTATAGCTTGTGTTACGGCAACAAGATACAAACTCTTTATGATCTACAAATATATATATATATATATATATATATATATATATATATATATATATATATATATATATATATATATATATATGCAGCTCTCGTGAACACCTAAAGATTGTGACTGACGGTCACGAGTGCGCCATATTACACGTGCGCAATGTGCATGTGCGTGCACATGACTACATCTGTCACCTTCTACTGTTGCATTCTCACCTCTGGAAGGCAGAATTCCGGAGCGCTGTCAACAAACACACGTCCATTCGCCTCCTTGAATTCCTGAACATGAAAGAACACTCAGAACTCGAAAATTTAAAAACACGAAAGACCAAAAAATGATAAGATGTACACCGAGTCTTACCCCTTCCAACTGTGCATCACCAGCCTCTCTTGGAGTCCACAGGGGCAAGTTCGAGAGCCGTGTGCTAGAATTAGAAAAGAAAAAGTTACTCACGATACTCCTTATTGCAAAACAAGCGTGCAGCTCTACGCGTGTTTGAATGGGCAGTACACTGAGGAAAAGAACTCGATAGAGACAAGTACGCACATACAGTTGGACTGCTCTTCCGTATTGTTAATGTTTATCAATTATAAATATTATCTTTCCCCATTTATTTCCAGCTTTCGTGGTGCAAAATACAGTTAAAAACAACCCATTATATTTAATTTTAAAAAAATTTATTCTTTTTATCTTATTGTTTATATTTGTAATTTTTATTTCCTGTTTTATTAGTGAAGGCTTTGGCAAAACAAAAATAAAATCAAGTAGGTCGCAACTGTAGGGTGACACTCTCGTGAAGCTCTTCGTGCTTCAAAATTTCGGCGTTTGGAGTATAACAAGAAAGAGACTGCACATTACAGTAGGAACCCAGAATGAAGAGCTTGAAGGAAGGAAGGAGAGCAGTAAACTTCATCAACAGCTCATTGGAGACTCCTGTATAACTCCAGCAGGTAATCAGAGATGCACATGAAGATACAGTCCACCACAAAAGTTTACAAACCACGCGAGTGCGTGCCAAACTGCCTGTCCTGCACCACCACATAGCGGTGTGCCATGTGCCGTCGACTACAGTGCTGGGCTGGATACGGGTATTCTTGTTATTCACTGGTATATCAACCCTAAACTGCCACGCAGAACATGTTTAGTTCGTTGTTCTTGCACAAAGCCATTATCAGAGGAATAAGCGTCACACTTCTACTTTTACAGCAGAATCAAAGTTACCAAAGCATGCTTTGGATGGTGTGCTGTTGGGTAGGTATCACTTTGCGAGAAAGACCGTGATTGTTAACAGTTACGTTGATAGGCTGCTCTTGGAACAGAAGCGTGTAGCCATAGCTGCCGAAGGGCGTAATGTGTCAAAAAGTGGAAGGTGGAAAGTATTCGTGCTCTGTGTAAAAAATAACCTCGCCATCAATTTACGGATGGATGTGTTTTGGGTGTAGTGCTGCTGTCGGTCACCGCTTACGTAGTTACGCTTTGCAGTTCTGAGTGATGCCGACAACAAAAAGCTGCTCCTCTTTTTTTTTCTCTCCTTTGTTCTCCGACTTTACACATTTCGAACATTCAAAAATAGCAATGAATTAATTTGAACATCCTGGAAAGTTTTTTTTTTATCAAAATTTGGCACTCAAATGGTTAAGTACAATGAAGTGAAACGGTGGTGACTGCAAACGTGAAGTGTTAAGGTTAAGATCCGACGACTATGAAGGGGGAAAATAGGCGCAAGAATTTTTTCTGAAACCATGCCAACGCATGGTTTCATGTAAGGCGCACGATGACAAGCTGCGTTGTTGACATCACAAATGGTTTGATTTGATTTGATTGATTTGTGGGGTTTAACGTCCCAAAACCACCATATGATTATGAGAGACGCCGTAGTGGAGGGCTCCGGAAATTTCGACCACCTGGGGTTCTTTAACGTGCACCCAAATCTGAGCACACATCACAAACGGTTGTCAGTATTATTGTCGTAATGTGGGCAATAGATCGAAAATAAGAAAGCGGGCGCAGAGGTCGGGCAAAGCATTCAGCACCTGAGGACAAGCGGTAGAGGCAAGAATCCGAGGACAGACGTTGCATCCAGACCGCAGTCGAACATGATGAGGGTGTTTTTGAACTTCAGTACGCTGCATGGCTTGTTCGGGTTGCTGCTCAAACATAACTGAAAAGAAAGGTAGTGAAGACAGCGCGAGTTGAAGGATGTGGATGACTAGCGTTTACGCAACAGCCAGAAACAACGAGCCATACTCACGAGCTTCATTGTGAACGACTCGAGACGAAACTAATCCGACAAGAACGATTTAACTAATTCTAAGTGAGTGCATACGCGTGAGTGCGTTAAGGAAGTCTTTTTCTGCAATGTTTTGAAGCATTTTTGTTATATGGTATTACATGTCTGATGCTTCCTAAAGACGGCGAGCGTAAACAAATTGAGCTCATTCAGAGCTGTAACTGATTGCACCGCGTTCAGACTGCCCATAAATATAAAATTAGATACAGCTGCCCGGCGGAAACCAAGGCAAAATTCGAACACAATACGGATAAACAGCTCCCGATATTTCGCCTGCTTTGCGCGTGCGTATGTACGCGGGGTTTCAGAGGTTTTTCGCGCTGACTGGCGGCGTCGGCAGCGTTGGTAGAGTCACAGCCGTTGAGTGCGTCGGCATGTGCGCAAGCCAATCGAAAATCCACCGTCATCCACGAATCCACATCCAATCCATCGTTCCTTGTTTGAGCAAAATGGCGTCCGCCACAGAGGACGATGATGCTTGGTTGTACGGTGATAACGAGAAAACGGACGCTGGTGCAACGAATGAAAGGAGCAGTGATTCGAAGTCACAGGCGGATGATTCAACACATTTGCAAAATAAAGATGAATCGCAACAGGTACGGAAAACCTTTAGCTCCCGTCACCCAACTGGATGTGCCACGACCGCGCATGGGCCGGTTAGCACTAGGCTGCGCATTTAGACAGAACTCGGCGCAAAAGAAGCAACTTCGGCGAGCAGTATCTTTCGAACGGGGATCCAAATATGATTGTACGTGCTCTATGGTGTCAATAAAGGGGAAGTAGCACACTTACCTTAGCCATCGCTCCTCCATCAGCTACGATTGAACGCAACTGATTTGAATTGAAGGATTTGAATTGAAGGTGCCTCGATAAAGATGAATTTCTGCTAGTTAAGCAGCCCGCTCACGTAACTTTGCGTGCATTTAACTTTAGCCAAAGTGGGTATGTACAAAGTAGTAACATTCGCAATCATTAGGAAAAGTTGTTTTTCTTGGCGTGGTAGGTGGGAGCACTGAGCGAAATGCATAATCTGAAATGATCCGCACATCTGTCGACCATTTCATCAAACGAATGGAAGCTGTTAACAGCTAATAACAACGACAAAAATGTTAGCGAAGACGCTATCGTAGAGTCCGTATCAAGCGTTATTATTACTCGATTTTATTTTGTTTATTCTCCCTGAAACAATGTTTCGGCTCGCCGCGGCAACGTTCGCACTGATCAGCACATTCTAACGTTGCAATCTAATCCTTGGTGCTCTGTTCTGGACTATTTCTGGGCACAAGGTCCCAGGTTCGGATCCTGTCCGAGGTGGACTACGAAACCCGCACATGTGCCCTTGTTTCTTAACTATTAAAGTCAATTCGGACGTTTTGCATTCCGTCTGTGTGTGAATGATGAAGGGTGTCGAACCTGCGACCTCATGCACAGCTGAAGATGGCCATATTCGCGGCGGAGGAAAACACTCCATCTGCTTAATCCCTCAGATCTTGTTAAAGCAGTTTACGTAGTGAAGATGGCTGTTAGGGCCCACTGAAACATACTTGTTTTGCTACCAAGTTTCCACAACTGGAGTTCCGAAAAATCATGGAACATAAAGTGTCATTTTGACGAGGGGACTTGTGACGATGTTGTCTCTGATCACATTCCCTGTTCTTAATTTTCTCAAGAGTTCAGGCCTTCCAACTTTTCCTTAACTTTTCAGTTGGGATCGCAACTGTAGTTGTGGTTCATAAGACGGCGTGGCACAGATTCGTTGTGTTGTTTGCTATGTTCTGACACATCGCTGAATCTATGTGTTGCTGTGCATGTGCTAGCCTGTTGGGAACAAACAAAACCTAGTGCTGTTCTAGAATTGCATTGAGGGCAGTGAACTTTTTAGTATGCTGTGACCATGGTAGGAGTTCAGCACCTAATTATGGCAGTTGTATCTGGAAGGTGGTATTACCATTATTTCTAAGGAGCAAGTCTTCAGATACCTTTCTGTAGCTGACTTGTCAATATTTGTTCCTCTGTCAGAATGAGAAGCCATGCGGGACAGCAAGTTCAAGAGGGTCAAAATTTGTATTGATAACAGTAGCAGATGTTCTCCAAGGTCAAGTTTCTAATTATTAGATACTGGGTCTTCAAAGTTGAGCATTATGGTTGTGTTAAGGGTCAGTCAACAGGCTCCGACTTTTATTCTACATCCCCCAAAGAAGTTCGGCAACTTGTAGAGTAGACCGCAACGATTACGTTTCCCGAATATTACAAGCTCTGCACGCCGTGCAGGGCATAAACAATTCTCGCACAGTGACGCAATGCCGCCAATCGGCGACTCGCTAAGCGCGCAGCTTGTCGATTGGTCTAATTCAGTCGACGAGGTAGGGAAAAAGGTGGCGAGGCCATGGGAAAATTTGAAACCAGCTGAAACCAATGTTCTAACCCCTCTAACTTCCTTAGTATAGTAAGTATTCGCAAAATTCGTGTGGCAGCATGTTCACAAAGCAAAAGCATACATATTTCTCTTTGTAACGACTTTTGGACCACGGTGTTGTTTACTGGCCCTTTAAAAATCATCACTGGGAAAAACGTGAAAACCACCTTTGCAAATAAGGTATGTATTGGGAGTACTCAAAGGGATGCAATAATTGTTGCTGTCAGCTGCTCAAATAAAGAAGGTTGTTTAATGAACTTTTTAGTAATTGCAGTAAATGGGCATGTTTGTATTGAAAGTGTTGGAAGCAGGTCACGTTTGTAAACAGTTTCATTTGGAAGAATTCTAGCATGTCTGTGCTCCGAGATATGCCACTGCAAAGTTTAATTGCAGTTTGCATGCAGGCCAGAAAGGATTGGAATACTCGTTCTTCCTGATAAATTATCTGCAAACTGATTTTCACGTCTATCCCAGCACTGAATTAAAAAAAGAACATAAAGCCTAATTTTAAACCTCCCGTGTATGAGTGTTGTTGCAGTGGCGTTGTGGTTAAGGCGCTCGGCTACTAACGCTAAGGTCACGCATTCAATCCTGGCCGCGGCAGTCACATTTTGGTGAAGGCGAAATGGTAGAAGCCCGTTACTGTGCAATGTCAGTGCACGTTTAAGGACACCAGAGGGTCAAATTTTTCGGAAGCCCACCACTACGGTTTCTCTCGTAATCACGTCGTGGTTTTGGGACGCAAACCCCAGATAATATTATTACCCTGTGCATCACTTCCATTAGCGTTTACTTTTATTAAGCTTCGTATCCCCTTTTATTGCATGACAAATCCAACTAAGTATTCAAGACAGCCTTTTTGTTGCAGCTAGAATGTGCGACTCTTGCTGGCATGTGCAGCTGTGATCCTTATAACAAAATATGTGGAGTTAAGCTCCAAAACTTGCTGATAGATGTGCCGCTTGGCCCTGTTCATAATGCAGTAGTGTATGTATCCCTTCTTGCCTGTCTATTAAACCTAATTCATAACATCTGGGTTAGTGTTACACCTTTCTTTCAAACAATCTTTTGGCAACCACACAACAGAGTTTAAGGCTTTTGTTAGGAGCCATGCAGGCATGACAGCTATTGTGTGAAAAGGCAGTAAAGTTATTCTGCCATGCCTCAGACAACAGAAACGTAGCACTGTGTTTATGTTCTTTGATGCTCTCTTGTATCACTATCGGCACACATTTTGTTCTATTTCGAATGCCTACCAACTAGTTCAACTTTCTGTTTTTCAAAGTTCAAATCATAACGCTGTCAGTAGAGAGGTTGAAGTTTGAGCTTGTTCGCAGGTGAGAAACTTTTGGAAGACTGCTGTACTATGGGACAACACACATCACATGCAGGCTTGGACTTGTAACGAAGCTTTACTTCTAAATCTGTGCCCGTGTGTCTTAATTGATTCCGTAGTTCAGCACATCTGCAAGAGTTACATTAATGTATGTGCATACTGTACATTAGAGATTATGTTATTAGCATGGTGAATTTCTTGATTGTGTTGTTTCTAGGCACTGTGCATAACCACACTGAAAGCAGCACCTTGCAACGTGAAGAAAATAGAAGGGTGTGTGAAATGTAGTCAGTCATTCTTTGGTAATAGCACATTTGTAGATATTGTACTGTACATGCTCTCGTCTTTCCTGTGTAATCGTGTTAACCATGATAGTGTTAATCTTAGTGGAGCCTTGTTAAAGGAATCTCTTGCGTCCTGTTTATATACTGCTACTCAGACTGCAGGTATAGTGTCTCTTGGCACAGAAACTGAAGCTTCAAAGTTAAAATGTGCCCTCAATCACCTGCTTTTCAGGATGACAGAGAAGCCGGTGAGCTCAGCTGTGAGGATGAGCAGGGGCAGCAGTCGGAGGAAGGTCCAGCCACGGACCCTGTGGAGGCCGATGGTGAAGCGAAAGGTCCAAGTTTCGAGGCTGACAAGAATGGCGACGCTGGAGACGGAGCGGATGAGGACGAGGATGATGACGACGATGACGACGACGATGTGCAGGTTTGATGACCTGGAGCTGGCAAATGGGCCTGTTGTGAAGTGTTGCATTCATCGTTCGTAGGCTGCTTGAAGTCGTTAATCAAGCTAAGATTGTATCAACCGTGTGACAGAAATTTATAGTGTCTGCATGCCTAGGGCTGGTAAAATGGAGCATGGTTCATAAAGTACTTGCTAGAATATCTAGCTTATAGCATACAAGGTTCATAAGAATTGGTGTGCTCTTTTTCGCTGATAAACTTTGACACCAATAGCATAAATATAGTATAGCACCACCTAGCTCATAAGCCTAATTTCGCATTTTCTGCCTCTGCGCCTGTGTCTCATAAAGTCTGAGACATTTAGTTTGAAGTATTTGGGTGGACAAGCTCAGAGAAGCTTTACATACTTTCCTTATCCGCATTGTTCTTAATTACTATAGCATTTGTTTACATCGTCATGTGTACATCTGCCTTTGTTTACCACATTGTAAGTATGTCAACACATAAACTGCATTTGAGGTGTTTAAGCCTTTTGTTTTATCCCCACACGTACAATTGGTACAAGCCACTCAATTTTGTTTATACAGCATCAGTGAAGTTGGTCATAAATTTGCTTCATTTATTGCCCTCACCTTTTCTATTTTCATGTAATTTGTGTTTTACCTCATGATCAGTTGTAAAAAAGTCAGTAAGATGGGCTGCCTGTTTGTCTTACTCCTCCTTTTAAAAGTCGGCCTATATGAAAGCATAGAGGTGGCCACAAGGTTCAGGGGTTTTGGTAGACTTGTTACTATACAAGATATATTTACACAAGTTTTGAGTCAAATAGGTTGCAACATTACGCACCTCATTCGTTCCATTAGAAGGCAGTGCTCTCAATTTCTGCTGGTTGCAAGAGGATCTATTTATGCACTTTGTATTCATCTCATAATTACTAGGCTTAAAGTTAGAAACTATAAATAACACCTTCAATGCTTTCTTGAACTTCGTTACCCAGGTTCTTTGATGCAGTTTTCTAAAAAAAATAAATTATGTACCACTTCATTATTCACAAAATTCATAATTTGTATGAGGATATTGTAGGAATGTTGTATTAATCCTAGGTCATGAGTAAATTAATATTTTTCCTTTAATTAGCCAGCAATGGTAGTGGAGATAATACAGATGAGGTATTTTTTTACAACTGCTAAATAAGAGTTAGAAATCATTACAACGGGGGCCTCATCTGACTTCTTTCTTCAGTAACCTGGGATTACACATGCGAGACCTCGTTAAGGGGGTGTATGGTAGGGTCAATCGACCAAAAATGCTATTTTCGGTTTCGGCAATAAAACATAACATGCACTCTGAGGAGCAAAGTCTTGTATTAGCGAACTTGTAGGAGTGCTTCAAGCCCTTCAAAAAATGGCACCCAAGACCGCACATTTCAAGGGCTGCGCAGGCTCTTTTATTGTTATTGTTTCTGCATGTATGCATTTTTTTATAATGACTATAACTAGTTCGGTTGAATATATTCGCTTCCTACTGTTTTCATGCTTTTGATTGCAGCTTTCTCTACCAAAATGCTTTTCAGTGTACTTATTGCTGTGTGTTGTGAGCACATTCCGAGTGTTTTTAAACATATAGTTGTGTTTTTCTTATGATCAGTTTTCCTGAAAATTTTCTGAACTTTATGTACTTTCTATAAAGCTATCTGACCGATCGAACTCAAATTTTCTCTAGGTTAGAGCTGAATCCCTGCTAAATAGTATGACCCTAAAACTTTGAAAATGTGTTAAAGTTATGATTAAGCGGAAAAAAAGGAGTAATTAGAACGTATGATTGTAATAATAAGTAGTAAATATAATTAATAATATAATATAACAATAATTGAAAAGTCTCCTTCATGTAGTGTGATAATTGAGGGAAATTCATTTTTTTTGTGAGATAAATATAAAAGCTCGTTTTGATAAGTTTGTATTAGGACCAATGTAATTTTGAAAAAGCTTTCGAAATTTCAGGGTCGTACTGTTTTTGTTTTTTGAAAGGAACAAACATTTAAATTTGTTGCCCCATTCTCAAATCAGGTACTCAACTAGAAGCAAGTAAGAAAAACTACATGGTCAAAATTGCACAGACTGGAGGCCACCAGTTCTCTTACTGAGTGTGCAAAGTTTCACATCGAAGTACGAGACAGTTCCTGAGCTGAAACGAGGACAGCCTGTTGCTTGGAATTTTGCATCATATGGGAAAAACAAGAAACTAATCCAGTAGGCGCCAGTGATAGATATCATTTACAAGGTGATATGGTCTGATCCGCACGTGAAAGCGCGTGATAGCAATGGACTTTGTTTATTGTACGATCAATTAACGCCCAAAAAGCTCCACCTGGATCTAGTAGTATACTGTACTAATAACGTGCTTAGATTGTCGTGTTTATTCAAGATTATCGATGATCTGTGCATGCTGTTCGCTCTGAGCAATCAATATTTCCACATTTGAAATAACGCTCAAGGCACAGTATGTGTGCCTGCTAAGTGAGACAGAGAATGCAAGTAGTAGGAAGAAGTATGTGTGGCTTTTCTTCCTGATATAACAAACATTTAGAGCACAGCTTTTAAGCACCCGTCCTGGCATCGAGCGGCATCGTCGTTGTTAGCTGACGTCGGCGTGACTGATAGAGCTAACGAGTATAAAAGGGAGCGAAGGCGGTGTCTGTCAATATCACGAGCCTCTGGTCGCTAACTTCGATTTCTTTCCTCTGTCACGGATGCTGGCACCTCAATTGGAGCTTGCGCGCATCCAGGGTTCACACGTGCACTGCGGCCTGCTTCACGTGTCGTAACGGGGCTGTCGATGTATTGCTTGTTTCACAACACAATGCAGAGGGTGGCGTGCATAGCACCTGACCGCTGGCAGTTTCTGTGGCATTATGTAAGGAATGTTACATTGCTACAACTGCAGATAGCCAGAACTTCAAATGCAATTGGCCTTGCCCCGAAACGAAGCTGCGCTCAGAGTTCGCATTAGGTAGTGTTGTAAATTGCAGTTAATTTTTCCTCCCATCTTCTTGATTTCGTCATTGAGATCACCAGTTCTCTCCCATGTTCAGTTGTTAGACAATGTATATTTTCTATTTCAGGCACTCTCGCATCATTGTTGATTGAAAGTGGGTCATAAATTTAAAATGCAGCTTAGGGATTGCTTCGTAGCTTACGTACAGTATTCATAGCACATACATCGCAACAGCTCTTATGCTCACAAGATTATCGTTCTATACTGCAAAATGATGATAATTGTTCGGCCAGTTTCCATTAGCCGCCTGCTGACACTAAACATAGCAGAACATGATTACCATAGGGAGTTTGCAAACATTAATGAATTACTGAGTAATCAGATTTTTCATAATTGACAATACTTTTGGTGCAAGTTGAATGAGGACACATAACACAAAAGAGCAGGATGGGCGCCGAAATTCCAACTAATTTTGTTCCGCAACGGGAAGAAGATTTTATAGCACAAGCGAACTACAATGAGTGTGCACGCATCACAGTTTTTCTTAACAACTAAGGAACTGCAACGTGCTGCTAAAGAAACTAATCTCTCTATCTTGAAGGGATAGTGAAGCCATGCTGATGCAGGTGTCGCCACTTTGCCTAATGTAATATGCCTCTATCACTTCTCTCTCCCTCTCTTCTTTTGCTCTGCTGATAAACTTTGCTTAAGTGAACTTTAAGGTAGCATCCAGACACCTTGAAATGCATTGCCATCAGGCTGTCAAAACCATTTTTTACATCAAGTTGGTGTTGTCTGGCCATGTCATGGAAATGTTCTTGCGACCTCGTCCTGTTTTTTCGTGTTATGTGTCCTCAGTTCAATTTGTGCCAAAAGTATCATTACTTATGAACCAGTACCAACTAGCTCAAACCAAGATTCTGCTAGGACAAGATTTTTTGTTCAATGATTTCTTTCAATTTTTTTTTTCTATTTGTGCTGGACACAGCCTGCTGGTCACCATATGTACTATGCTCCATCTCACAATTACCTAGCAGCACTTTCGAAGCTAGTATCATCACACAGTATATAATATAGTTCTGAATGTAACTGCATCATTATCAATGAGGTGCAATGGTTCTAGCTGTGTTTCTTGCATGACACGTTACTGTTATATATGGTACATTCGGCCCTTTGCACATGCACTTCGCATTTCAAGAAATATTGCAGTGATTAGCAGCTGATAATCATAAAACTGCCACAATAACAAAGATGTACAGCAACATGGCAGTTCCCATTCAGCCCAGACTAGTTGTGCTTTTTACTGGCTTCCTGTCTGGACAGCAAGAAAAAAAGGCATGAAATCTGTCATTGCTTAGTCTCACCTAATGCTGTGGGCAAAACTTGGGGTATCACTTTTATCATTTAGGTCACTTGTTTGTTCTGATACTGCTAGGACTACAGAGGTGGTATCGAGGTCCAAAAGTTTTTTTTTTTTTTTGTCAACTGAGCAGCTGGCATGACAACATTGATGATGCGAGATATCCTGAATGCCTTCATTGCTTTCTGTGCCAATTATTTTCTTTTCCTCTCAAGAACAGTATGTATTGGCCACTGAAAGTGTATCGACTGAGTTTCATCCAGTATTTTCCAAAAGAAGCATGGTTAGTAGCACTAAATGTGTTTGGTGCTGTCAATAAAGAATTCAGTGAAAGGGCCAGTATGAATGCTGTTATAAAAGAAATGGGATTCCTCTCTAACCTACAGTGAACACACCCTTTACAAGTAAGTTTCTGAACATCAAAGCAACGAGAAGGTGGCATTTTCGAAGAGGTATTACACATTATGTTAACTGTAGGGAGCAAGTATAGGCAATGCAGGGAAGCCGATACCCAAGAGGCCACAAGCAGACGACGCGACGTGGACAAACATGCCTTGAGGATCTTTCGTCTTTGTTAGTGGCTTACAAGCTCTGAAGCTTCCACAATGCTGCAAGGTGCTGTGGAGATGGAGTATAGTATGGGGCCTTTTGATGAGCTGTCATTTTCCTCAAATTTTGTGGCGTCTCGAATGAGATAGCCGCTCTAGGAATACACGGGCACAGTAGAGGCGGTCGAAACGTACCAAACAACACACATTTATTTAATTACTTTCAAACGACGATATCGCCAGCTGAATTAATACATCAATTTTGATCAACGAGCTAAAACGGCTTTACACAATATTACAACACTCAACAGCATAACAAACACAAGGCAGCGTCACCATCGCTCAACTCGCCACGAGGGCCCATGGTGCGGTCTATCGCGGACCCACCGCAAGAGCTGACCGCTCGCTCCGACCGTCACACGCCAAAGAGGGGCCCCTCAACTATCATGTACCGCCAGGCGTCACTGCCGGTGCGACCCACTAAGCATGATGATGATAGTGGTAATAAACGCTCGCGAGCACAACGCCACCTACAGCTTGATAGTTGTGACCCCTGAAATGCGGCCTATGCGCGAAACAAGTGCGCCACGAGGCGCAAAGGACTTTCTTACAGGGGGGGTGTAAAGTAACACATGTTATTGTAGTGCTTGCTACTGAGTGAATCTAGGATTTCTTGTGTACAATACGTTTAATTTAAAGGTGAACATAATCGACAGAGATCTGCCTTGCTGGGTAAAAGTTATACGAATAAAACACAAATTGTCTAGCCACATTGATCTATAGTTTTCAACAATAAAATGAAGAACTGACCCATTGGGTCTCCTTTTCATGGGTGACTTTTCGGACGACAGTGAAGCTAGCGATTTTTTTCGTGATGGTGTCCCCCTCTCCACCGTTCTGGTTACTGCGTTTTCTCTGCTAGTTCCGCAGACCGTGTACATATTGTCAAGGGAATGGACACAAAGCAGGATCCCAGTTGTGGCTGGAGAGATTGTTTTATTCGTATGGTCACTCGAATAGGGTGATTTACGGTGCGTGCCATTTCCTGCTCGTTAAGATCTATGTGCTGGCCACATTTATGGGAAAAAACTCGGTCTGCCTTGCACCTTCCTCACCACACGCAGGTGACAATACGAGACATCAAGACCTCCCCATACGCCAGCTATCCGGGACCAACGCAGACTGTCAACCTGAACATAAAGCGGGGGCCCCCGTTCACCAGCAACCTAGGTCCCGGCTCGGGGGTTCCGGGCGTGGGCAAGACCAAGGGCCTCGACATAGATGAGGTGGCGCTCATCAATGGCACATCCATTTACGAGTTCAACATTGAGTCCCTAGAGGACAAGCCGTGGCGCAAGCCAGGTGCCGACATCACCGACTATTTCAACTACGGCTTCAACGAGGACACCTGGAAAGTCTATTGCGACCGGCAGCGTAAGCTTCGGTCGGACAACAATGTGCCCATCAAGGTAAGCCCGCTTTTGTGCATTCTTGGTGTTTCCGTAGAAGTTTGTACAATAGTGGCTGACATGCTGTGTGATTTATCTGCATGCTAATCATTAGAAGTTCTGTGTAAAGCAGCAAAAGTCAAGTGTCATATTTTCCAACTCCGTATATTGGGGCTAGCCTGGAACTCTCAATGATTGCTTCAGGAATCTAGGTGAACTTTGAACTATAGCTAGATAAGACATTATTTCTGTTGGCCTCTAGCAGAGGACAAAATAAAAAGAGAGAGAAAAGCAGGGTGCAGAAAAGAATATTGCGAAGGCATGAAATGCACAGCAGAAATGCTACACTATGTATTTAAGGTTCAGGATAGCCTGTTTATGGAATTAATGCTACTTGATGAAATGAACACAGCGCTGAAAATATGGTAGCTTGCCCTTTTTCTGTGTCATTAAGTGCATTGTTCTTGTTCCTAACAAAGAAGGTTCTTTTGGAAAAATGGAGGAGTGGGGTGGTTGTATTTGCACAAGGGCATCTTCAACAAATTAGCTGTAGTTTCAATGAAGTATCATTTGTCCTGCTCAATCGATGCCTGCCTGTGTATTCTTTGTGCGTAGTTCTCGTTAATTTTTTTTACTGTGTTTATACCCTTAAAACCCAAGAATATTTTGTGTACCGATGCCCCGTTGTGCGTTGATTTTTTACAAAAGAAAAAGCATACATAACACTAGTTGTCATTAACAATTACCGTCACGTAAGACTAACCCTGCACAATGCCTAATACTCCAGCATGAGTCTGCTAGAACTGCTTGTTAACACCGTCTGATTTTGGTCTGCCTTTGGCACTAACATTTACATTATGCATATTGTTCTGCCGACGTCTCGTTCCACTTACAGCATGTCTAGTGAATTTGCATTTTTGTATGTTCGCAAAGTCTGTGTCATTTAGGACTCTTTTTTCTTTTTTTGTAATCAGGGGCACTAATAAACGTTTGCCCCCGGGAAGATTTGCGCTGCAGCCTTTCACGCAGTTGTATTTGTGGTTGTGGGGGAAACTGCTGTTCTTCGAGTGTGGGTGGTTTAACAACACATAAAAACACTTTTGAGCCAAGGGTGGTAAGGTGCCTTCTTTGTTAAGTGTACACACGCTGTGTTCCCCTTAACATTTAGCATACATTCAGATTGGATTGTGTAGGCAATAGAGGACTTGGTATACCAGAAGATTCTACATTCTGGATAATAAGAAAAACCTCTTGTACTCAATGGCCAAAAGGGCTATGGTGACAGGAATGCCGTTGCATTCATACCCCACGTAGTGCAACTTCTGCGGCATAGGTGCAGAGTAGCCTCGATACTTTTGACAAATTCCTTTACCTCTATGATCGCTATGATTTATCAGTCAGAATGTGCTCGAGTTTACAGGAGAAATTACTAGCTGCCTTGCACTTTCATTTAGGGTGACCGTACTTGGAGTTCTGCAGGTTTGAATTTGTAGGGAGGAATCGACTTGACATGAGACGGCAATGACATAAATACTAGATGCATAAGAGTGTAGAATTTAATACCGGGCGTACTGCTATAGATTCATCGTGGATAAGGGCACGACTAACGCAGACGAAGAAAAGAAGGGGATGCACAACACTGACCTTCAACTCAAGTTCTTCAGTTGAAAACTTTATTTGAAAGTCTACATTTTGTCGTGTGTCCTGTTCTTTTCTTCATCTGCATTGGTGGCATTGTTAGCCATGGTAGACATAGGAGTGGGCAAGCTTAGCTAAATAAGGTAGAAGGGACATGCCTAAGGTCTTAAACTAAATTGAAAAAGTCTAGCAATAATTTCAATCGCAAATTCGCAGTGTGGTGTTGTGAAACAGAAAATGAACTGCTGTTTGGGGAGTGCAGCTTTTATAAGGGAGAAGACAACGTAAACGTACAAAGGGTGGCATTCAAGTAACACTTCAGGAAGTACCTGAATCTGGTTGGAAGAAATTGTCCTCGCAGTCATTTGTTGAAGTGACTAGTAGTAAATAACGTAAAGCCAACTTGATTGCATTTCGTTGCAAAAGGAAATGCCACTGGGGAGGTTTTTTTTCTCCAAGTTGCGGAAAAAGTTGCCAGTGCTGCATCCTGGCTGCCCTGTGTAGGCACTACGTTAGCGAGTGTGGCTGCCCCCTGAAAGTGAACAGTGGTGTGACTTGAGAGATTACCAGTGCAGCTGCTTCGAAGGCTTACTTTTGTTATGGCCTACTGAAGCTGTTTAATGATCGTGCAACCTCTGAAATAAGTAATTACTGACACACAAAAGAGGACCTTGCAAAGTTTCCATTTAAGTAGTCTACCTAGATTGCTTCAATGCCTGCCTTTACTCAAATTCATTTATCTTTCTCCAATACCGTAGCATGCTGCTTTCAAGTAGACACTGTGCAGGTTTTAATTCCTGGTTGAGGCAGCCACACTTTGATGGAGGCTGAAATGCAGAAAATACTTTTCTACTACTAGTACATGCAGAATGCTAGGTGGTGATAGTTACCTATTAAAAAATAGCTTTAGGGTCAGCCTAAAGGGACACTGAAAAGCAAAGTGATTTTTCGCGTATAGTAAAGTACAATTTCACAATCCTAAAGGCACCACTCTTACCGTGACACGACTCTGAGGAAAAGGGGGCAGATGTGCCCCCTTGAGATTTCAGCACCAAACACCGTAAAGTCATAGATTTTCAAGGTATCTACTGCATCCTACACTGCTTCTAATCTATTAAAATTTCGTACGTTTTCATCTGCAGATGCCGTAGACCTAGCATACAAAGTTTCAAAAAATGTTATCTAGCCAACATGGCGAAAATTCGAAAAATACATTTTGAAATCAGTGATGCAGAGATTTCGGCGTAAAATTAAAAATTAGGCTTCGCGATTTTCTCCACTAATAATAAACTAATGATAGAGTTCTCAGGGTGCAGTTTGTAAATCTAAAGCAAGTGATTGTTTCTCTCTAGTGTCCCATTTAACTGCTATTAAAAGCTTTGATACACTGCCATGAAACTGTCGCTTAGTTTTGACTCATCGGAGAAGGTTTATTTTACAGGCTCGCTATTGACCGTCTTACTGCTGATATTGCCTGCATATGTATGGTGGTATGTAGTGACTGCTCGTGCCAATACATTTTTTTTAATGCTCTCATTTGATGTGCTTTGACGCCTCGATTTCCGTGTTCTTTCGCTGACTTACCCACTTTCGCACTTCCTGCACTTGCATGTGCGTATGCGTGTGTATGCTGTCCAGTGCTGTGAAAGCCCTTGTTGTGTTTTATGTCTGCACTACCCCTTCTTACCTGCTTTTAAGGTCATGTGCTATTTGCAACATTTTCCTTTTCTTTGTTTCTTGTAACCATATAACTTTCAATGTTAGAATGCCTGTCATAGCAGCTGCCTGCCTCCTCTATTTGTTACGCTGGTTCCAGTTCTGCTGTCATATTGTATTGATTGTAAACATCGCATCATTTTTAACTGTAGTCTTTGCTGCTAATGTTACACTTGTGATAGCACGAAATCATAGCTTGGGCTTTTTTTTATTATCTGTGGAAATCATAAGAGACCTTTCTATTGGCTCCCCTTGCAATTTTTAATTGTACCTAATGGTTCATGTTCGATCTGGAGCTGAGGCTACTGCCGTTTCCTGAACCTTATGAAATGGGCCTCTTCCACATTTGCTAAGCTCGCTTAGCCTACACTGTTCTTGGCCACTAAGCTGAATGTTAGCCACGTAAGTTTGCCTCTGTTGCTTTTCAGGCCCAGTTATTTCTTACGTTTACAAAGCTTGAACATAGGGACAATATCTACTCGCCTCTGAGGGGTATTTGTAGTCTTCATTGTGCAGTGCATCCTACGATGGGGTTCTTTTGTTATTAAGGTATGGAGATCGCGAGAGCCATAATACTTACTTGCCCGTGTAAGCTGTTAACAACAGTGCGACACTTTCGTTTATGGGGCCCTGAGGCTCCACCGCGGTGACGTACCCGTATGTTTGTGTGAGGAGCAGGTGGGTGCTCGTTGCCTGCAATGGCATGTTGACGATGATGGAGTTGTTGCTGTCCAAAAAAAAATGCTCACCTATGTCACCCTGTTTTCTGTGCATGACAAGTGGTCACTTGACATTGCTAACACCAGCATTCTGACCATTGCTTATGCTGTGAACGTGTGGAACGTGTTGCTCGTATCCTTGTCAGATAGGGATGTCATCAGGCATCTGTGACTTTTGAATTGTTAGACGTGATCACTCAAATACATTGGCACGCCTTCTTAAGCTTTACCAAAGTAGAATGAAGTGATTTTTTTTATTACTTTGTAAGGTTATTATACGTGCCTGACGGTTTCACGCCTACAAAAATTGATGCCTGATCTATGGTGCACTTTGATCTTAGACGATGTTGCTACTGTTCTGGTGACTGATGGAAGTTGAAGATTATTTACTGCTAGATACATCCTGAAATGGCAGTGTTTTTAAAGACTTCTTGGCTTTTGTTCACAATGTGGTGCACCAGTTAGAAGCCATTGTCGTATCATTCTATATGGCCATCAAATCAAATCTGAATGGCAGATTTCTTTTCCACATCTGGCCTGCTACCAAGATGATGTCACTTAGGGACTCAACAGGCATATGCATTGAGCAACATCGAAGTCACATTTTTGGGTGTGGTGAGCGCACGTCAACCTTCGTATGTGTGTAGTTGGGTCATTTAATAAGTGCTGAAATACTGGAAATGTGCACACACAAGGCATTGATAGCTCTCTGCAAATGTAGTGGCATGTAGGCATGAATTATTTTCACAGCCTCTCCGCAACACATGGCACACACTGTGCTCGGCCAAGTGCCCCCCTGTCATGCTAGTGCCAAGTTGTGTAAGACACAGTGTCACATTTTCTTGTACGTAATTCACTGCTCATCGTCATGTAACGTCGTACAGCTTGCAAGATCTTTACAACAATATAAGTAAGCATTGTCAGGAAGTGAGGGTGACGAATATTGATGCCAGTTTTGTTATTGAAAGACTGAATGCATTATGTCACTGTCAAACAGAGCACACATATCTTGAGGCATGCCTAAATATATTTGCTGATTAGAACTCCTGAAGTGAAACTGGTTGGAACATGCTTATTTGATTTGCCGAAATATTGCTTGAGAGTTCCTACTTAGTTAATTAATGATCATGTCTTTGTCAGTGCTCTGCATGCCTTTATGGCTTTTTTTCTCGGTGTTACCAGAACAGACGGTTGTACGTGCCCACTGAGAAATTAAAAGCATTTATTCACAGTTCCTGCTTACTTGTTTACTTCTATCTTGCAATGATTTAGCAGAGTATATTGTAAATAATTAAATTATTGCACTGTTTTCGTTTTCAGAGGGGTTTCCTTTTGCGCATGATTAAGGCTAAAATTACTAGCAACGTGGGCCTCTCTTAGCATCCCTCTTTTAGAGTTGTCGCAAAATGGTGTTAAGCCACCGAGCCAACTTTTAAGTGCATTGTGTTTATTAATATACAGCTGTCATCCTAGCTATTGACATATGCCAGTTTCTAATGCTCTCCATATTTGGAAGAAGAAATAAAATCCAGAGCAAAGCGCCATTCTAGTGAACAGCGGGAAGTAGTGTTCACGCATAAAAATACCCCCCGACTCGCCTTCTCTTGGCAACATTGGCAGCTATATGGTGTTAACACTCACTGTAGATGCGAAAAAATGCGAGTTTGTTTCGCATGTCTGTTAATACCGATTCAGTCGATTCGACTACACCAAATAGTGAGCTGTAAACACATTCACAAATCCTCTTAGACTTGAAACTTTTAAACTCCTTTGTTAAGTGGAGGGCAGTGTTGCCTTTCTATTGAAGCAGTTGGGACAGTTAAAATTACGTTTTGTCCTGAGCCATAAATTTTCAGGTTGACTATAGGTTTATATAAGATTCCAGCCAATACGTGCATATTCTAGGTGTGGCCTAACAAGGAAGGCGGACAAGAGAAGTGAGCATCATAATGGGAGCAGATTAAATGAGTCTGTGGCTTATAGGAAAAAGGTAGGTTACTAACATTACATGAAAATTTCAAGCAAAACTGCGATTCGGCCTAGTTAGAACATATCCATCTTGAATTTTTCGTGCAAGCACATGGGGAACACAGTAGAGAACACAAACAGGCGCAATCGAAAACATTCACTTAATACTTCTCGTCTCTGCGCACTCTGGTCACCAAAAAACATCTACACTGCGCACATATCACAACTAACGATCACAAGTACATTGAACAATAACAGGAGTGAAATTTCTTTCACCAGTAAGGCTACCGAAGGGTGGCTAACACTTTTATCTTTCTGCTTGTCTATGAGATAGGCTTCTATTAATTCTCTTGAAGTCCTGTTTTGATTACTGTATACAAAGGTAGTAAAGTAAAACAAGGAGAGCATGCGCACTCATTGCAATGTATTGCTAATGTGTGTTAGGTGTGTGTGGTAAATGTGTGTGCACCCGTTTGTGCTCTGGGTGTTTCTGTGCCCTTGCGCGAAAAATTCAAGATGAAAATTTTAAGACGGTTTACATCAGGTTTACGAGAAATATTTTTTGTGAACTACTCGGTTACATTAAAGATTCTAGTGGTAGTCTGTATGACAGTGGCTTTAAAATTGTCAGTACACAATGGACCTGTGTTAAGTTTATATTTCGGGAATAAAAACTTGGCGTGAAGCAGGTAGTCTGCGAATATGGATTGTTAGATAGGTTAAGTTCAGTTTACGCGCAGGTAGTAGTGACGGCTTACTCATTGTAATGCAAAGGATCCTAATAGGTGGTGAGTACGATAGTGGCTCGAAAATTGTCGAAAAGCATTGCTGCAAATAGCTTGGCAACTTCTGCTTTGATCGAGTTGTATAGTACTGTCCTCCAGTGGGTGGGCGACGGTGGGGACATACGGAACGGTTTGCCAAGTAGCTGAGTGTATGTGAAACGCGGGAGTGGTGGGGAGAGGCCGGGAAGTGTTTGACCGAGAATGTGGCCTCTAGGATTGGCGGACGGGGAGGAACGAAGTGTATTTGGGCGATGCCCAACTGGCCTGGCAGCAGCAGAGGCAGCAGCAGCAGCAGCAGCAGCAAGGGACCCTTCCCCCTGAACCTCTGCTGCCGCAGGTTCCCATCCCTCCGGTAAACGAGAACAGCAAGTACACAGGCGTGGTCATAGGCGTCCCTCCGCCCCCACTGGGCGGCAAGAAGGCAGGACCCCCACCGGGGCGCAAGATGTCCGGCAGCATCGACGTCATTGGCGGCGGCGCCCCGTCCCTGCCAAGCCGGCGACCGGGCGCCGCCAAGGAAGGGGTCATTCAGGTGCGCTGCTCTCCTCCTCCTCTTTCCCTTCCCCTCTTACACCTCCTTCTTTTGCAGACCTTTTTCTTTCCACGCTTGTCGCACCCGGTGCTTCCATATCCTCCTCTCCTTAGTTTGCTAACCGATCACTTTCGTTGCAGTTTGTTGCTAGGCTGTTGGCACATTTGTTTGAAGCACAAACATGTTCCCAGAATGACAGGAAGTTGAGCTAGTTGGCAGGTGTTTTTCTTGATAAAGGGATAAAGGTTGGGCATGCAGGCACAGGACATGCAGGAGAATAGAGTGGAACAACACAGACACCGATCATCTACTCAAATGGCATCCATTGGCGGCAACGAAGGCGGGCACACAAAACTTATCTTGCATTTCTATGAACTTAGCTTGCATAGAGAGGAAATTAAATGTATAAACAGCTCTTCATCCCATGATTCCACATGTGTGCTGGTCTGACAGGTGGCACTCCATACCTGAGCATGTAAGGTTTGTGTCTGTCTACTTTTCCACCACTGGGCACCCTTTCAGTTGGTAGTAAATGTTTGTGTTGTCCCAGTCCCTTTATTATGTTTGTAGGTCCACTCTCGTGCCTGATACATACACATTCACCCTAAGCGAATCATGTGTGCAGAATAGCTTTCTATATGAACTTAGCAATGTTACAGATGGGTTGGCAGTGCTAGGATTCATGGATAAGTAGTCTTACGCGAAGTTGAAATCGGCAATGGGAAGCTCTTGATTTCAACAGCTGCAATTTGCTGCATCTTGGTTGCACATTAAAAGAACTACAGGGGGTCAAAATTCAATCTGTACCCCTCTGCATGAGGGATCAGTTATTTAGGGGCCTTGTTAACCAACACTTAATTCCAATAAATTTTTTGTGGCCATGAGTTCTTACACGTGCCGGTAGCTCATGTCTGCCCCGTGGCACTAGAACACGTCCTGTCCTGGTTACGATGCCGAAGAGCAGAAAAAAAAAATGCTGCTTATGAGAGGTGTCTGGCAAAAAAAACCTGACTCCAGCATTGATTGCTGTGTAAGCATAGTAGTTTTTCAGGTCACCTAATTGAAAATAATAGGCTTTGATGGAAGGGCTTTGGTGACATCTGATTTTCATGTGACATTGTTCTTTTTTAGTAGCTGGTTGTTGAAGACTTGTGCTCTAGGGGTTCGAGGGTAGGCAGATAAGAAAACTTGCGGGGCATAGGATACAGTCCATCAATGTTAGACAGATTATTTTGGCAACTTCTGGGAGAGGCCTTTATGCAGTGGTAAGGATAAAATAGGCTCGTGATTATTGTAGACACAGCTGAGAGCTTAGAGGTCCCGTATGTGCCGGTAAGCTGCAGAAGGATATGATTCAGTTCATTTCAATTTATTGTAACTGTTTGTGCATGCTGGAGGTGATTTGCTGTATTCAGGAGAATAGATAGGAACTTCTTCGAAAAAGATAATAGCTGTCTTTGAATATGAATAGTGTATGTTGGAAATCTGAGGTACTTTGTTGTTCACACTCTCCTACTTTGACGTACATTATATCGTTGTCTTTGTTGTCTTACAGTGAAATTAATGTCCTGAAATCTCTTTTTATTCCATTTCATGTCCTCTCTTAATTGCACCCTTATCTTGCTTTATATATTATTAGCCTTCCTGCACTTCTCTTTTCCTCTTTTCTCCTCTCTTCAGCTCTTACTAACATACGCCAAATTTTAACAAAAATAGTTGTATCTCACTTCGAAAGACGCATCATATGTTGTGAATTATATTGTTGCTCGTTAAACACAAACATTTGTGGCTTGAGGTAGCTTTCTTTTCAACTAACATCCTGTTATTATGTGATATGTTTGATGAATGCACGGTGAAATGTGCCAATAACATTATTTGTTTTACCTTACACACAGTCATACAAAAAGCTCATATTTTTTTTTTATAGTACACACATTCATACTAAGTAAAGAGCTCAGGCGGCTCTAAAGACTTGCAAAAGGAAACTATTTTTTACAATCTATGTAAAACTTATGTTTAGGATTTTAAATCGTATCTTTAATTTGTCTGTCATGTTTTGTTATGTTTATTTTTTACTGTGACATTCTTGTTATTTCTATGCTTTCTTGCTTAGCAGATATGTACTCAGGCGCTGAGAATTTTTGTTATTTTTTCTAATAAACAAAAAGTATGAAGTTTTGTTTCATCAATTTTTATTCATAGAGACGCTAGAGAATTCGCTTTAGTATCCTACTTTTAGCAATATTACGAAGATTCAAATGTTTTGTGTGTATTTGTACTAGGGTCATTCCATGCCAAATCAACCAGCGTGTTTACAGCTGTCATTGATCTAGCTGAAAAAGTTTCAAAATGTCTGTTGGCATTCAAAGCTCATTCTGCTTGTTTACTTTCATTGCAAGCATCTTTTGCACATTTCGGTGACATTTTAGTATGCTTTCTCTCTGACCAAGCTAGAGGTTGCTCAAAAAACTTTATTTCACTATCACTTTGATGAACACACTTGACAGGTTTCTTCCGTCACTGTCACGTTTCGTATGTTTTATGCATGAGTGCTGGGGACAAACATGGCTGAAACAGGCACGAAACCAGTCAGCTACATACATCTGTTGCACGAATGGTGCTCGTGATAACACCGTCTCGCTTTCTGCGCCTGGCGCCTGAAGTCGTTAGCTTCTCAAGTAGAGAGGAAACATCCTGTTCGTCTTCATTTCGTTGAGCGAAAGAGCATGAAGGTGAGCGGGGGGGGGGGGGGGGAGCAGCTGCGAAATTTCAGCAAAATGGGGCAGTTGTGAGCCTTTACGTGCGCCCTATCCATCAATAGGCAGCTTATATTCCCTTGTACATTTTGTGCTTTCACTGCTTACTGCGGAGACGACGGACATCACGAAAACCATTTTGCTTCTTGGAGTGGCTATATTCCCATGCACCTTGGTTTTGTGGGGTTACCATCATCAGGTATAAATGTGCTAGTTGCTAGCCCTACATTGCAATTCTCATGCACCTCGGTTTTGTAGGGTTACGTGACGTCAGGTATAAATGTGCTAGCTGCTAGCCCTACATTGCGTAACACTACACTTTTAAAGACGATAGTCTTTCTCGGGGACCCTCAACGAAAAAATTTTCGTCTGTCTGTTTGTCTGTCTGTACATTTGTGTGTTTGTCCGCCCTAATGATACCTCAAACGGCACCAAAACGGCCAATCCCATCCGCAGCGCCCACCAATATTGCTCAAGGTTTAGCGTTCATAGTTGTGTGATTGTCAATTAAAAAAGCAAATATTAAGCATACCTTAGGCGCCATAACAACATGTCTATGTTTTGTATGCCTGCCTTTATACCAGAAAAGGCACACACAAGTAACTCTAAGGACTGTAGCGTGTAACGCGCTGCACTGACAGTGCGAGGCGATGCTCAAGAAGGTGTTTCCAATGCTTTGCTACGACGGCACGGTAGTGGCACCTGCCCGTCGCTTTGCATTCTACACATTATCACCTCGTGACTGGCGCACATCTTTCTCCGCGGTCGCGCACGCCTTCGTTTTCGAAGATAACTGCCAGATGGCGCTTGTGTCTAACGTGCCTAGATGCGCTTGTTCGCCTCCGCTACACGCTCGAGGCACTCTAACGCAGCGCCTTTAGAATACCATTTACCGATTTTCTTGCGCAGAACATAAAATAAATGTTTCGTTCATTCTCTCCAGTCTTTCGACGACATTTACAGTGTAACATGTAGATTCTGGCCAATTTTTTTGCTTCCATAAGATTCATTGCTTCACCCTTGTGGTGAAAGTGTGATTTTTTTTTAAGGTATGTTACTTGATGCAGTCATTAGGGGATTTTAGCTTGTACGCATAGTTCTTTATACGTTACTGTGTTACTGGATTCCGGATAGAACCTGCACATGTGTGGGTCTTTGCGGAACGTAGACCTTTACGTAACGGAAACTACCCGCCGGATGATAGGCTTTACGTTTGGGGCCCTATCTCTCAAATACACCTTGGTTTGTGGAAACCAGCGATATCGACATTGCCCAGACTCCAGACGTCGAGTCAAATAAGCTGAAGTGCGAGCACCAATAGCGATTACATTGTTTCAGCCGGATTACTAATGGCTTGGAACATGGAAGCCGTAAGCGTGGGAGCCCCCCAACAGGCTGAATAGGTGGCACCATCTAGCGGAGCTAAAATGAATTGGGCAATCACAAAATTGTTATTGCATGAACATCGTGCATTATAAGCCTGGTGTAAAAACTGGGAAGTGGCCTTATTACAAATGAGTTACCTTTTTAATCAATTTCACCTAAAAAACATTACTCGTAAGCCAACCTGCTCATGACTGTGGATACACAAAGTGTCACAAGACGTCAATACTATCGATGCAGTAATTTTGTATTTCTTCACTCTTCTGTGCATACGTCAATATTGTACACAATAAAAAAAACATCTTGTGATTTGGCCACAATGGTGGTTCAATTCTATTCAAGTTAAATATAGTTTAAATGAAGTTAGCATCACCATTTATGGTTTGCAAAAATGTAAAGGTATACCTTTATGACTTACATAAACGTTTATGTATGGGAAGCTAAAACGTTGAAAAACATGCATTCCGGTAAGATGGTAAATTTAAACCGGTATCTGGTAACAGGTTAACGTAAAGAACTACACGTACAAGCTAAAAGCACTAATTTAGGCAGCGTTTATGGCCAACAAAGGATGTGACAAGGCTACCGAAATAATCAATGATTTGAATGCTCATTTGCAATTGGCACCAGTAGAAAGGCACAGAAATGCTGTATATAATTTTCTTTTTTTTTTCTTGCAGTGTGTAGGAATATTGTTTAGGATAAAATAGGGAGTTGTATAGCCGAGTCAGGTGCAATGAGTTTTTGAACACCAACAAGCAGGTAGACCTTTTTTTGGCTATATTCATGATTATTGTGAAAATGTCAAATGATTTGTAATGGAATGACCCGCTAGTGTACGTGCACTTTATTGCAGTTTCATTCAATTGGCAGCTGCATAAACTTAACAATGTTGTTGCAAAGATATGAGCTAAGTTGCCTGTCAAGTATTGTGCCTTCTTTTCTATACTTGTTCTGTAAATTAATTACTTGTACCTTTTCAAGAATAAAGTTGACTGATTCATGGAAAACTTTTAAGTTCGCTTTTTCTTCACCATCTTTTTTTACACGTCACTTTTCTTTTACCTACATCAGTTTCAGGCCTATGTCAGTTGCAAATGATGTCAGGTGACTGATTCAGCAGAGACCTTGACCAACTGCACATTTTGACAGCAGTGATATTTAGCTTGGCATTCAGTGTAATCATTTATCTCAAAGGCTTTCGGAATGCTATTGTCTTTTTAAAGCTGCCAGCAGGAAATGCCTGGTACTTGAAGCACATTCATACTCTTCATTACCGTATACTTGCAGTTAGTTATTCAATCGTGAATGTTATGAAAGAATGTGGCATAGCCCTGTGGCTTGAAGTGATGAAGTCCAAGCTCCAGTTTTCTTTAAACAGGTCAGCTGTGATAAGTAGCTGTTTGTCTTGTGAATGACTCGTTAGGTGAGTCCGCTCAAGCTCTGAGGTGAAATATTTCTACCGTGTAGGTAGTCAGAATAGAATTAAATTACACTATTCTTGCTTAAGGTCATTGCAGTTTTGTAGCACTTGGCTTCACTTTTCTGTTTTGTTGTGTGTTTGTATTTTTCCTTTTCAAAAAATAACACCCAATCTGTTTCCCCCCACCCATGTTTCACCAAGTCTCCCTCAGCACCACACTTGCACAGTCGTGCCTCGTTCTTTCTTCTCTGTTGTTCGTGTGATCACAACCCTCATGTGGTCATATCTTTTTTCCTCTGTTGAACCTGCCAGTGTCCTCTGGATTAGGGATTGAACAGAAACTGCACTACCCTGGGGACAAAAGCTACAGACTGGAATTGTTTCGAGAGAAAAGGGGAAGAAAAGTCAGAGGCTAACTGCAAGCTGTGTCTGAGCCTACAGACAAGAATTGAGAGCTGCAGTATAAGTCTGCGCACTCCAGTGCAGGCTGGAGTGCTCAGAAGTTAGGCATGTTCACGGCATCTATGGTTTGTTACCTTTTGTTCCCAGCTGTAGTACATTTACACTGCTGTACGCTCTGCACACCTGCGGCATTGAGCTCCCCTTTGCCGAACGGATTGCAGGTGATTGGCTCCGGAGACCAGCCCCTGGGTGGCATCACCCTTCCACCGACACACATGCCACCACCTGGCTACATGGGCATGGGCCTAGAAGGTCTCGGTGTGCCGCCGCCCATTCCAGGCATGATCCCCGGTATTCCACCACCGGGATACGAGACTGGTGCCTTCCCACCACCACGGTTCACACATCCACCGCCACCATTGCCAGGAAGCACCGGTGGCGGGCCCGGCGGAGACCGTGGCTCGTCTTACGGTGATGATGGCCGCTCGTCCTATTACAACGGTGCCAGTGGGTATGGCCAGTCGTATGGGGACGACGGCGGAGGCAGTGGCGGCGGATCCTGGTCGGGCCGGGAACGCAGCGAGCGCAGCCATGGCGAGCGAGGTGATCGTGGCGAACGAGAACGTGATCGGGAACGCGAAAGGCCCTCGTCGCGCCGTGACTACGACGACGAGGAGCGGCGTGAGTCACGGCGCTACCGCGAGTACTACCGCGAGCGGGAGCGAGAACGCGACAGGGACCGGGAGCGTGACCGGAGAGAGCGAGGAGGTGGCGGGGAGGACGAGTACGAGGAGACATCGTCGTCGTCACGCTACGAACGGCGGCATCGCGAGCACCGTGGAGACAAAGAAGGAGCGAGAAAGGCATCGGTCATCACGCCGCCGCCACCACCGTGGAGGTGATGACTGAAGAGGAGGAAGAAAGGCGCTCGTCTAAGCACAAGCACAAGCGGTCCAAGAAAGAGCGGCCACCTGTCGAAGAGGTCGAGGTGCCGTCTAGCGAGGCCGGTGGTGTGCCCGATGCTGGTGGTGATGAGTCGAAGGCTGACTGACATTCTACGCTGTACGGTGAAAGTGTACAGGTTGGGCCAAATGGTGTGAGGGGAAGGGTGCAGCAGGCGGAACATTCGGACGTGCTTCGAGAAGGCAGCACCCAGAGACATGCGGAGAGATCTTCGCAGTACAGCAGTCTGCTTCGAATGCTGTAGCATAGTGGCTAGCACAAAGCAATGAAGATGGGGCATGATTGCCAGTGATGTGTTAGTCTATGATTTGCCTCAACAGCTATTGTTGCCCTAACCACCTTTGCTTGTTTGAGGGAACTTGCACGAAATGCTATGGCCACCACAAAATTCTCTTGGACATAATGTACAGAACAACCAGGAGTAAGTCTTTAGCTAGTTGATCGGGTTAAGGCTGAAACGCTGGGCTCAGTAAACTGTCATATTGGCTGCTTCTCCTTCATTTTGTTCAAGCTTCCTCTGCCATACACGTGCTTAGCGCTTGTTAGTAAGAGCAGCAGCACTTGTTGTACTAAAATAAGAAGACATTTTTACCAGTAATTACATGCGTAGCAACATACAAAGGCAGCATCTGCTTGGTTCTTGCTGGGCATCAAAATTGTTTTACTTTTTCTTGGGCCAACTGCTGTATTCCGACATGTCATATTGTCATATTGGCTGCTTCTCCTTCATTTTGTTCAAGCTTCCTCTGCATACACGTGCTTAGCCCTTGTTAGTAAGAGCAGCAGCACTTGTTGTGCTAAAATAAGAAGACATTTTTACCAGTAATTACATGCGCAGCAACGTACAAAGGCAGCATCTGCTTGGTTCTTGCTGGGCATCGAAATTGTTTCACTTTTTCTTGGGCCAACTGCTGTATTCCGACATGTCATTGCAGTCTCTCTAGCTGTGTCATGTTTGTCTTGAACAGAGATGTGGCCACAGTCTTTTGAGACACCCACTGCTGAATGTGTTCAGTGCCTACTGTTTTATTACCTCCAATTAAGCATCAAAGTAAAGTGTATTGTTCTGTTAAATAAAAGACTGCATAGAACTTTCAGTGCACTTACACAGTAATGTATTCCTGTTTAGTGATTATTGGCTTTCCTTCCTTTGAATTTTGACCGAGCATGTCATGAATTTGTGTTAGGCGGCAGATCTCTTTTTGAAATCCTTTCACATGCAGCTTTGGGTGATGAGGCTATCGTTGTAACTGCACTTTATATTTCCTATAATATTTGGTTCGATGACTTGGAAAGATGCCTTTGGTGATGTTGTTTCTTCAGATTCATTGAAAATGGCTACCCGTTGTCAATGTATACCTGAAACACTTGCTGTAATGTTGATGTTCTTATGTCACAATTTCCTCTGTTATGTCTTGATTTCAATTTTGGAACATAAACATAAATGAAACTGTTCTTAACCTGAAATAAGCATTACTAATTTGTAACCTTAGGTATTTCTGAAAAGCTACCTTATGCATCTGAAGGTGCAGTACAAAATGCTTTCTTTCAAAAGTTGGAGGCAAGTTTGTCACAGTCATTGTGTATGTGCATTGGAAAGCTTCATGACAGTTCTATTGGACAAATGATGTGCTTCTGTGTCTTTCTTTTATTTTTTGGAAATTTTGTTGTACAGCTTCTGCACTTACATCTATTTTATTGGCCCTCTTGCAAACGTCTGATAGATTGCGCATTTATGCGTGTAGCAGTATTCTGTAACCGGTGCCTGTCTCTCAGGTAGCTGTACTCGCACAAACTTATCTTGTTTATGAGCAACAGCTCTTGTCTGCAGCAGTGGCGTTCACATGAAGTTGGAAGGGAACTTTGTCGTAAATTCCACACGAACTAAATCAAAGTGTGCCACAGATCCTGTATTATGGAGTCCAAATGGTGTCATCCTCTGCGAAACAAGCTCTTCTTTTCTTTTTTTAAACATTTCTGTTTCTCGGTGCATATGTTCAAGATAAAAGGGGTTGGTTTTTGCTCCATGCTCATCTGTATTGATAAGAGCATCGACATTGTGCTTACTTCCTGGTTGGCTTCATGTACAGGCCTCGCACGTCACATCTCATCAATCATCCGACTGTCGATGTCGAACTCATTCCTTCCAAGCCTGTTTTCCTTGAATTCAGGAAATAATAAACTTCATGGCAATTTCGTGACCTCTTTTTTATTTTCTTTGTGAGGATTTTCTGAGCCTGTGGCATGTTGCGCTTCTTCGTGAAATATCCGGCAGTGGTTCATGAAGTTGCTGCACAATGAGAGTAGGGCACCAGTGATGTGCAAATGTGGTGCCAGAAAAAAAAAACGCAAGTTGTACTTGAAGGTCAATCTACAAATTAAACCACTGTCATTGAAAGTCCCAATATTAGGAGGCACTGAAGACTAGCAAACACATAGGTTGCAGTCGCAGATTGGTGCTTGTGAAAGTCTGAAATGTTAGGACCAGCCAAGTGCCTATCAGGTCTGTTGTGACCCGGCCTTGTGGGACTCGGTGCACGTTGAACTGATTTGTATATTTATTTTCCGTACCTTTCTTCATACCTACCTACATTCAAACCTCAATATAGCGAAGTTGCATCTTACAATAATAATAAGTTTGTTATATCTGAAAATTCCTTATAAAGGTATATTTCTAACACTGTATTGCAAGACTTCATTTACTTCGTTATAACTGGTATTTAATTATATCTGGGTTTGTTATATCAAAGCTTGGGTACACCAATTACTTGTATAATTTGCACGCTTTTTCTCACTTTAGGGCCTCAAATAGAAGTCATAAATTATGCAAAATTTCCATCATGGTCCTCCACAATGTTTAATGTCATAACATGCAAAATTTTGCATGTATTGTGTATAACTCCTTCAGATGCAAATGATAACGAACTGTGTTCAAATGTGTGAAATTCACACTATTTCAAGGTGCTTGATATCGTGTTAGAAGGGAAAAAAAATTATTACGAGTTACAGTAGGTCACGTAAAAAGAATGAAATTGTATTCTGAAAATTCATGCACTGTTGGTCTTGGTTGTATTCATTTCTAGCGAAGAAAAACAATACTCTTGGCATAGGTCCTGGAACGTGGCATGACAAATGACCCGTGTCGAACATCGCAGTGCCTTCAACGAAGTGATTGGCTGCAGTCATATGCAACATACTGAGGTTGAGACATATTGCCCATGCAGGAAATTCAGTTCGTCCAGTGAGTAATTTATCTTTGCTGTTTTTTAAGTAGAAGTTGATAAAAATAGCACAAATAAGTTGCATACACAAATATAGCCCTTGCCGCTCGAGGGGATACTCCGATAAAAGCTCCGAAAATCAAGGTTTCCATAAGAGTGCTATAGCCTCTCACTCATCGTCCATGAGCTAGCACTTGCAATTCCGTTTAAATTGACAGAATTGGTCTGCTGGTTTTCATTCAGCTGGTGCTCTGCCGAGTGAAACAGGGTACAGAATTTACAACATGAATGTATGAAGCGGACGAGGACAGAAAGGGCATTTTGTTCTCTCTTCCTGTCTACGATGTTCATTCGCATCATTATTTTGCTGCCCGCTTTTGCTCACGTTAGCACAAGACGAATCAGCAGTATGCCTTACCTGTTAATGGCTTGACAGCTTTACAACTCTTTCAAATAGATCTAGTTCCTGGGCAGCACTGCAACAGGCTGTGGATGTATGGTCAAAGCTCTTTCTAATGTTTGTTGGTATTTTAGTGAGATGAGCATCGAGCGAGCTATCTTCTAGGTCACACTGTTTCATGCTGCTGTAAGTTGACCAGAAACTCTGATAAAAGTAACGTATATATAAGAGAAGGAATGGGTTAAGCCAGCAATTGTGTATCACAGAGCGAACATCAAATTTTGTCATATATTACAATTGGAGTCGTATAATTAATAGAAGTTAGCATAAATAGCAATTGCATCTCTGAAACCCATCGGATAGGGCTCATTGTGGCACCAGATGTGTAATGTCTCAACCACACTCCTCTTTGTGTGTGGTTTCAGCAGCACGAAACACAAAGTTAACCTAACAACATACTAAGGCACAAAAATGCCAATAATCTATATAAGTGATGGAATGGGTTAAGCTAGGGTTGAATATAATAGAGTGATAAGTTGAAACTGGAGAGCAGTTGCCATTCCCAGACCCCCCCTCCCCAGTCTTGCATTAAGGTCACACTAGGTTTAATTTTTAGTTTTGACTTAGTAGAATTATTATTCCATGTTCAGGGACAAAGCAAGTTTATATTACAGATGAGCACTGCAGTGGTATTGCAGATCTAGTCCACTTGTATGGCTCTGCCCTTGGTATAACGACCCGAACACAAACCTGGAATCCTGGTACCCTTTTACCAACCACGAGGTAGAAAAGCAAAGCAGGAGGGTCTTGCACTGAATGCCACCAGGTTCCAAGGGATTCCAGCCAATGGAGGGGGATGAATTTGTTTGTTTGGGCCTTCTCCCTCGTCTTTCTTCCCAAAAGGTGTGAGACTTGTGCTTCAGCGGCACATACAGTCAAAAGAGGTGACGTGTAGACACATTTTGGCATTTGACATGAATTTTTCATATTTTTAGAAAGAAGTGTGGTGTGTAATTTAGGGTGGGTGATGTAACCGCACCAATAGATATTTGGAAAGAAAGTTCTAAATTTTTGTTAATAGTGCTTTGTGGGATAGAGTGTGTTCATGCGCATTTCAAAAGCCAATATAAAGATGATCAACCAGTCTTCTGATAATAATATCGAGGGTTTTACGTCCCAAAACCACACGATTGTGAGAGTTACCGTAGTGAAGGGCTCCAGAAATTTCGGCCATCATATGATCTTTTACGTGCAACGACATCACACAGTATCTAGCATTCGTCTTCCCCTGAAATGTGACTGTCATGGCTGGGATGGAACGTGCGACCTTAGGGTCGGCAACCGAGCACAATAACCACAGCTCCACCACGGCCAAGTGCTTTTTCATCCAGTGGCCAGGACTCCACCGTGGCGGACCCAATCTTGTGATAAATGTGCTAACGATGTAACTGGATGCGTTTTTTGATCACCTATAATCACTTGATGCTACCAGAGAGAAACAGGATTGCTTGCCCCTAATAACGAAAAAGAGTGCGACAGATCATGTTTTGCTGTTCTTCTGGCTAGGCACAGCAGCTGCTTTTCTTGTAGAGGCAAGCGTGTTTTTTAAGAAACCACAGGCTCCGTCACAGCACACACACAAGGCCTTTGAATGAGAGCAACAGACAGTCTGCCATCTTTAGCTGCTCTTTTTCTATCTTGCACACACCCAGTCTGGCCTATATATGCTTTGCACCCATTGTCTTTATTTTGCACGCTTCTTAAAACAAGCATTTCAATGTACCTTTCTGCAAACAAAGCTCGAGAAAGCAGAAGGAAAATGCACAGTACAGCTGCAGCAACAGCACAGTGAAAATGGTTGAGCATGTACTGCGATTTAAATTTAATGTTCCTTCATGAAAGGGCGAGTTCGGCCACACATGCATAGCAAGACTCAATATTACTATTAATAATAATAATTTTTATTTGCACAACATGAACCCTTGGGTGATGTGCAAGGCTAGACTGAAAGACAATTCTCTTATGATCGAGTGTCTGCTGCCCTTCAGGTGACAAACTAGCAGACACGCAAACAACCTTTTGACATTCATGAGAATTGCTTCTGCAAATGGAGCATCACAAGAGTTCTTTTGAACATGTTTCGTTCACAAGAAGTCGGATGCGAAAGGTCAACAGGCAGTTTGCTTCAAAGGAAAAGAAAGGCTATACGTGAGCCATTAACCCATTTATATCAAAAGCAACAGTGTGGTCAAAGTTCTCACGGCAGCTTGCAGGTGTCAAAGGCAGTCCGCGTAAACTAGTGCAATAATTCAAGCAGCACGGTAATATGGATTCCTGTGTTTACTGAGCATCCTTCGTACCACAATTTACAGCAGTTTCTCTTTCAATTTCAACATACGCCAAGGGTACAGCTGAAAACATGGCACTCGTCTGGTTGACACATCTTTATCCGTATATTTCTCTCCCTCATCATTTCTAACATATGAAAATAAGTAATATGAATGCAACACGCTAACACATGGCAAATAGCCTCAAATATAATGTGGGACGATCAGAGGTGGCCCGCTATCGAAAACAAAGTGGAAAGGGCGCTGTGGTTCCGCTAACTGTTTGGGCAGTCCTGATTCACTAAGGGGATTGCGTATCACTGGCTGCTCATGTAAGGTGGTTATTGCTATACCAACTGTTGCAAAGGGCTGTCAATAAATCTGTGAAAGATACTGCAATCAATTTGCTTTTAATAGCTTTTGTGTGCACTTGTTACAGACATGGAGATACAGAAATGTTTCAAATGGAAATACAGAAATGTTTCAAATGGAAATACAGAAATGTTTCAAAATGGAGATACAGGGAAAAACACGACTAAGATGAACAATGCTGCTCATTACAGATTGTGAGGCCTCAAGAGACGCTAGAATATAAAGCTGTTATTTGCGTTATACGTTTTGCCGGTCGTGCGAGGGGCCACAGCAAGCGAAAAGTGTCACCCCTTCCGCTACATTTGTGAGGCTCCATCTGTGTCTCGCTCGAATCGGGGTTTGACAGCCATTTGCCATGTGCTTCCATATTGCTGCTCGTATTGCTCGCGCTGGTACAGCACTTCAATGAATAGGTAAGTCATGAGACTGTTCAACTACTCTCTGTAAGTCTGATGACAAACTATGATGCCTAGCCTTAAGAATACATAAGAAGCACAAAAGTAAATCAAAAGCATGTCTAAATATTATGAAAAAAAAGGGCTTGTGCCCTTCCTGAATTGTTCATTACACTTATTAAAAAGTTACTTTTATTTCAATTACTACAATTAATTCATCTACTGTCATTGCCGCAATTTTGTGCCACAGAGTGTGAAACAGGCTTGCTGATCTCTAAGACGGTCGCTGTGGGATTGCAGCGGCCAACACGGCACAAACACGGCAGCTACCCAATCTTTGACTGGCTTTATTTGATAGGTGTGCATACTTGTATCCAAGTAAATACGGTGCTGGTGCCATTACAGTAAGCAAATGCAAAAAAGTGTCCCTAAGGTTTCGAAAGCACATAATCCCTGCAGACGTCACGTTTTTTTTTTTTCTTCTCCACGGTGGAACGAAAAGACGCAGAAGAGCAGCGTGAAAGTAGTAAAGAGGGTAACAAAAGTGAGGGATGGTTGTCTCATGACTGAGGCAGCTGCTCAATGGGTGTGAAGAACTTGAAGTCCTTGGGGAACAGCTCGGCAGCGCGGGGGTACATGAGCTTATACGACTGTCGTATGGTCACGTCAGCCACGCCAGCTATGTCGCCGATTTCTTTTTGAGACTTCTTGTCTTCGGAGGCCTGCGAGGCCATGTAGATGGCAGCCGCCGCCACCGAAATGGGACTCTACCGGGAACGATGTCCAGCTCAACGGCTTTGCGAGCGATGTGCGTGGCGGCCTTTTGAACGGACGAAGGCAGGCCCAAGTTGGAACAGAACCGGGACATGAAGTCTCCGGTCGTGATAAGGTCCACGCTCGTCTCCAGAGCCTTGAGAATGAGCTTGAAGCAACGGCCGATTTCCTTTTTGGAGACTTTGGACACGGCGCATATCTCCTTGAAGGTGCGCGGCACCCCTTCCTGGCGGCAAGCTATGTACAAGCACGCGGACGCGATGGCATCGTTGCTGCGCCCTTTCAGCGTCTTGCCGTCGTGGACCTGCTTGAAGAGAAGGTTCGCTCGGTCCACTATGGTCTTGGTCAGGTTGATCCTGTCTGCCATATTGCTGATCTCTCGGAACGCGTTCATGAGCGCTCGGTCCGCGCTGCTCATGGTTTTGCGGTTCTGGTACTTTGCCGTGCCGGACTCGTCGAAGCTAGCGTCTCCCGTTCCTTTGCCAATCATCGTGGCCAGGTCGCTGCCGTTCAACAGAGGATTCTCGGACGCTCCGACTCGGGCCGGATCGCTGTTGCTCTTTTCGTTGGAGAACACTCTCCACTCCGTGCCCACGTCCACGATCCTGTCGCCGACGACGAGTCCACACTGCGGGCAGATCATGTCGCCCGCCCTGTAGTCCTCCACCAACGCGGCATCCGGGTGGTCGGGGCAGAACACCCGGGAGTTTGGACCGCGAGACCCAGATGCCATTGCCAAGCGGAGAGCGCTGCTTTCAACGGGGAGTTGATCACCTCCACATTCACGATGCACAGGATTACGCACAACACCAAGCGCCAAGCATCTGATAAGACGTATTTAGTAGGCTTCAACGAGACAGTGTACTGGGCAACAACCCTATGGATCAAAATCGAACGCACACTGAATGGATGCCTCCGTTACGTGAATAGCGCGCAGGCCTTCCTCCGTGGCGCGCAGGCCTTGCACGGAGACGAAAACTCCGACTGTCGCAGCAACTGCGTCGGCAACTCAGGTGGCGCTACATACTAACACTACGTACAAAGCGTTAATGCGACTGTCAAAATGTTGTAAAAATAGTGAGTGTCTAATGTATTGTCCGTGTATTTTGGTAAGCTACGTTTAAATAATCAACTTTAATCAACACAGTTCACATCATAGAGGTTCTTAATATTTATGCAACACATCACAAGTTAGTTAGAAAAGTAGCGCCCTCACACAGTTTTGTGTGTTTTGACAGGCATAACGAAGATAGCAGGCGGCCCAGCTGATGAAATCATTGATAATGAGAATCGTCACAACAACACGTGGCTAATTGTAATATTACCCACAAGACACCAGTCACTACGTCATCATTCGCTTTGCACCGTCATGGCGTCTGTCTGTGTTTATGAGCGGATGATATGCCGTTGACGAAAGTGCTTTCGAGTACTCGATCGCAGCGGCGTGGGAAAACGGCGAACTGTTCTTGATGGGTAGTTCTCAAGTCGCTCGCAGCGATGGATATTGACAGTGATTTGGACCTTAACTTGCTGCAGCAATTTAGCTGCCTAGGTACGACCGACCGCGATGTTTTAATTTGCCAACTTCAGAAGGTACTCGGGTACCAGCTCAACACCACAGAATGCGCGTTCTTTCTGGACATGAACAATTGGTGAGTCTGGTGAAGCGCACGGGAAGCGCAAGGCGCTGACACTTGCTCGTTTGCGCGCTAGCGTTAGGGTTAGGCTCTACTGCATTACTCATCTCGTGATGCTGAACGATTGCAGGGGGCTTGCCCTGGGCACACCGCGTTGTGATTCGGCCTTCCGTGTCTGTCAACAGCGTGTTAGATTTCCACAATGTCGCTGGCAGTGATTTCAATAGTATTCCCTGCGATCTTGGCGTACGGGTCGCGAAGCGAAACCACTCAACAAAGCGTCACTCGTTCGTAATCGGCTGCAATTCAACCACACTGCCCTTTTCGTGAAGATGAGCATATCTGCCACATTCTGCGATAAGCGTGTATCGTAGGCATGAAGCCTGCCCATGAAGCCTCGTTAGAGTTTCTGGCGAGCGCAAAACTGTCCGTACTTGTTTTCTTTTTCTTTTTGACATATCACAATGGTTTCGCGTTGTACAGGAACCTGCAGGCAGCTGTGTGCTCCTATTTTGATATCGACACCCCCAAGGAGAACGGACCCTCCATGACCCTCGTAAAGGATGTTACCATTGGCGAAGGCGAAGCTGTGCCTCCCAATACGAGGTTTGTCAAGACGTGGAGGATACAGAACACAGGTAAGATAACGTCGCGCACTTTTCGTTCGATCGCGGCCGTTCATATACCGTTCGACCCGCTGTGCTTGCGTAGAAAGAGTGACTTTTTTATTTCCTATTTCATGGATATCGTAGCAATGTGTGCGCGATGGATAAAAAAGCTCCCTCCTCTCACCGACTTCATTATCTTGAATGCTTTCCGTTTAGCTGACTCATGCGTTGAGCACAGAAGCAGACATCAATTATGAGCTGATACGGTTATCAGATCCAAGCAAAGCTTGACTGCTGCTTTGTCAGAGTTGCAAATATTTGCACTGCTTAACCTTCGTAGCTTGAATGTAATCGTAAACAATGCACTGGGCGTGATCTGTGTGCATTTTTTGTGATGACTGGTCTCATTGAAGATGTGTTGATTATAACTTGTGCATTAATAAATAACCACCATGGCTGGTGTTTATTACTGCTAACTGAAATGAGGTTACTGTGCTTGACCGTTCATCATGCTTTTGTTGAGGGACATTTAATGTAATAATTATCATGAAACCAAGCAGGTATAGTCTATTTTAAACTAATACATTTCAGATGCTTCCAAGCTGAGAATTAAGGATCCAGCTGCAATCTTAGAAGTGAATGAATGCGGCAGGCTTTGCTTATAACTTGGAGGCTGCAAAATGGGTTCAATCTATTGGAAGTTTTATATTATGGGGAGGATGCAGACATTATCATCAATGCTTTAATTTTTAAAGCATTCATGTATTTTCATGTTACTGTTGTAAAAGAAAAGACTTTTCTCTTGTCGTTTATACGCACTTATGCTTATTCACAAAGAGATCCCTCAAAATTCTGCATGATTATCGGAATTCGAAAATAACACTGCAGGCTTTTAGTTGCATATCTAGCACTTATAAAACATTGTGTGTTAATAAAGTGATACGTATGCATTTGTCATGATAATACTGATATCTTTAGCTGTCTTCTCTAAGTAAATAAGGGCCATCAATTCATGCTTGTGTCACATGAGCACGAGATAGCAATCAGGCCCAACTTGGGTCAACGCAATCACAATCTGTGCATCGCAGTTGGTTGATGTTGGCACTGGACTCGGGCCCAATTAGTTTGTACCATGTTGCAGTGACTATTGCGTTGAAGTCTAATCTGACCCTGCCCCGCCGTGGTGGTCTAGTGGCTAAGGTACTCAGCTGCTGACCCGCAGATCGCGGGTTCGATTCCAGGCTGCGGCGGCTGCATTTCCGATGGAGGCGGAAATGTTGTAGGCCCGTGTGCTCAGATTTGGGCGCACGTTAAAGAACCCCAGGTGGTCGAAATTTCCGGAGCCCTCCACTACGGCGTCTCTCATAATCATATGGTGGTTTTGGGACGTTAAACCCCACAAATCAATCAATCTAATCTGACCCTGCCCACATCACAATTCAAAGTGCCCAGTGTGTGATACTGGTGCCTTGTGGTAGGAACAAAACAGTATTGGAAACCTCATTTCATGAACCAACCTAATCTCTGTTGCTCCCTTCTTCCTTGGGGATCATTACTTGCCTTGTAAAGTTTTTGGGATGGAAATATATTTGCAACATTGTTGTGGTTTGGTTGGATAAATGTTCCCATAATTTTTTTATGGACTATATTGTCCTAGCTATTTATAGCACTACAAGATGATACGGAGTCTGATTGCTTCCTATTTTATACACTGGCAAGGTGGAAAAGTTTTGGCTGAAGTTACATTTGAGCCGCGCAAATGTGGGAGCTGTTTTGTTTAAGTTTGTTTACAGTGGGCCTGTAGGCAGCCAACTAATCTTGATGACAGTGTTCCATTTGTTCAATGTTGGTTATTTAGTTTTTATTATGTAGAGTCTGCTGTAATAACTTCATTATCTAGTTTTTTTGCTACAGGAAAACTTTCTTCTAAATCAGGAAACTTGTGAAGTTATAAGATGCAAATTCTGTGCACTTTTGGGATGTGAAAGACTATGATCAAGATATACATAGTGAGTAGTACCATGCTTGGCTGCACTGAAGGATTGCTTGAGACTTAATGCAGGCTTAAAATCATTATTGGACAGAGGTTTTTAAGATATTAGGTTGTAGGTGCCAGCTGCAATAGTTATTGAGTTTGATGGAGATAGTTGATGAATTTGAGAAGCCACTGGAGTGTCTGTTCGATGCCTTCTAGAAAAGACTATGCCTACGACGTGAGCTACAAAAGCGCGCACTGCTCCACCCTTTCCGTTTGCCTCCTTTCCACCGGTACAGTAGCTAGAGCTTCTAGTGGGGACTCCTTGCAACATGCAGTGGTGCTGTTGATAACCCAAGCAGAGAATCCAATGCGCGTCAGCAGAAAGACTGCCAGCGTTGTTGAAACCAACGGAGGAGTTGCTAGAGCTCAACGAAATGCTTCTCGAATGCGCTGGCGACGCGACGTCGTAAACGAGTTGAAAATGATGCTGCGCAAGTAAACAGGTATTGAGAGAAATAGACACATCAGAGAAAAGCTACGACACCTGTTCTTGGGGAGCTTTTTTTGCCTTAATTTCATGTGTTCATGTAAAGAGTGATGTGCTCTCAACCAGTGTGTTCGTCTTGCCTAGAAACCTAGTTTTCCTGCGTGCCCAAATAAAAGAGTTGCAGGTATCTTCGGAGAACAGTTAACGTGACTAGTGACTGAAGATGATTTCAAGACACGGCCCCGCCGCGGTGGTCTAGTGGCTAAGGTACTCGGCTGCTGACCCGCAGGGCGCGGGTTCGAATCCCGGCTGCGGCGGCTGCATTTCCGATGGAGGCGGAAATGTTGTAGGCCCGTGTGCTCAGATTTGGGTGCACGTTAAAGAACCCCAGGTGGTCTAAATTTCCGGAGCCTTCCACTACGGCGTCTCTCATAATTATATAGTGGTTTTGGGACGTTAAACCCCACATATCAATCAATCATTTCAAGACACGACTGGATGCCAACACATAATGCTGTAGTGTGCAGTGAGGAGTAATCGACAGGAACCCTGCTGCAGAGCTGCTTTAAAGGAAACCCCTGTTGCGAAAAGCTCTTAAGCTGTAGCCGAACTTCCTGCAAGGAAATGACTGGCGTTTGTTGAACTGGCACTCCTCAAACGCACTTCATGAGCGCAGAACTGCCCATCCGCACGAAGCACCCAACTTCGCCGCTTCATCCACGCAATGTTGCTGACATCGTTTCTCTTGCCGGCTCTGGTGGTGCAGTCGCCAGTTTCACCACACAACGCCCACTCGAAACATGTATCGGTGCTCTTCTAATGGGAAAGCTGGCATCATTCCAGGCATAGTATTTTTCTAGGAGGCGTTGGTCTGTTTTCAATGACCAGTATGGCAAGTCGCTGAGGATGCATGACGTAATTTATGTGTGGCCTGCTTCCTCCTACATTGTGCTCTCCCCAGGGGACACTGACTGGCCGCCAGCATGTTCGCTCAAGTTTGTTGGCGGTGACCACCTAGGGCACATGAACAGAGTCGGTGTGGAGAGTCTGAGGCCAGGCCACACGACAGACGTTTCTGTGGAAATGTCGAGTCCTGGAAAGCCGGGTGTATACCAGGTGAAAATTGCTAGTTATTATTCTTATTGTTTTGTAGTTCATTGAAACTAGCTAAGAGCTGCTTTGGTGAATTAGTGCCAAAAGTCGCAGGTTCGATCCTGGTCGCAGTAGTCGCATGTTGAAGGAGGTGAATTCCTAAAAGGGCGCATGTATAGCGCAATGTCTGTTCACATCATAAGTGGTTATCCAAATCCCTCCACTTTCTCATTTTTAATAGCCTAATTTGTTTCGGTACATAAAACACCAAAGACAGTAACATTGAAACTGACTAGTGATGTTCACGATTTCCTCATTAAAGTGATTGTGGCAGAAGCAGATTGCTGTATGGGTTATGAGAATATGTGGAATGAGGGGGTTTTCGAATCGGGGCCCAAAAGCTTAAGGCTCCAAAGACCTTTGGGTGTGCTCGCTTTGGATCAAGCAGGAGCTAAGAGGTCTCCAGTAGGGTCTGTGTTGCTTTGGATACTCTCCCTTTTACAGGGGACTCTAGTTTTGGCCTAGAGCCTTCGCTTCAGTGGGTGCTGTCACGTTTGCTTGATGCAAAACATTTGGGGCAGGCTTTGGGACTCTAGCTAAATTCGAGATATAGCATCCCCAATGCGAAACCCACACACTGTTTGGGTCTCCCGCATGCGCAGTGACCTTGACGCTATTTTTTGGAGACGCTGAAATGATTTGGGCCCCTGTTCGAAAACTCCCCATTCATTCTGAAACGGTGTTTGTGTAGGAGCTTCAGATAAGAGCTTCAAATACTTTAGACTAAATAAGGGGAATTGTTAAAAAGGCTCGTTTTTTTGCCAGCGCAACCAATAAAACTAATGGCATAGGGGGCATTATTTGCTGTTTTTTACTGTAGTGTAATGTATGACCTAAGTAATTGCACTACAGTTCATTCAAAACACCAAAGAATGTTTCGTATGCTTTCCATGGCTCAATTGCTTTTGGTTTCATTAGCTGGCTGAAAAGCTTGCTACTTTACTGAACATCAGTAAGAAGTAAGAAATACCTGCTCCTGAGCATCAGAACAATCTGTACATGTGTATGACACCCACATCCACAAATATAGGACAGTGTTGTGTTATGTTGTGGTGTGTTATCAAGCCTGCAAGCATTTTCATTGTGAGCTGTAGTAAAAGGGGCTAATGCTCCGAGGTTTATATTTGCTGCGCTTAAGCTAATACCCGCAGAAATTAATGGAGAGACCTTGGCTGGCATATCCCAATCGGCAGGGCATCAGACTTGTTCTGTAAGGGTCCTGAATACTGCTTTCGTAAGCATTCAGCAGTTTTTTTCTCCACATTAATTCCCTCTGTTTTGAAGTATTTCAACGTATAAGCTAAAATGATGGACATACTTCTAAGAGATGGGAAGACAGTAAGGTGGATCAGGAAACAAGGCTAATAATGATAATATAAGGGGGTTTTACAGACCAAAACTATGATATGATTATAAGGCTCGTCATACTACAGAGCTCTGTAAATTTTGACCATCTGATGAACATGCACTGACATCGCACAGTACATAGCGCCTAGGATTCCACGCTCATTGAAATGTGACAGCCACAACTTGGATCGAACCTTCTACTTTCGGTTCAACAGCCGGACCCGTAACCGCTACACTGTCATGGTGAACTGTGTTAGACAATGTCTATGTACTAAATATTAAAATAAATAAATGGACCTGAGCAGGCTGTGTCATGAGGACTGATAACCAATAGTCAATTATATTGTTGGCAGAAGCGGATCCAGCGACACATTTTAGAGGGGGCGGTCGCTTGAAGTAACACTGGAGAAAGGAGGCGGAGTCCTAACTTTTCTCTTTTTTGTTAGCACAAAAACCCCTTCAAAGCATAAATACTGTTAATGTATGCTCACAGTTGTCACTCGATTGTTCTAATTTGTGATAAGAGGTCAACGACAAGCAATAGGAGAGGGGGGGGGCGATCGCCCCTACCGCCTCCCCCCTCTGGATCTGCCACTGATTGTTGGAATGGATAACATGAGATATGGAGCACAACCTAGGGCAGCAAAGGGTTAAGTGAACCAATGAAATTAAGAATTTGCATGGCATGAAATGCAATTGGTTGGAGCGGACATGGTGACTTGAAGATCCTAGAGAGAGGTCTTTCTCCTGTGGTGAACAAAGTGCAGGGCTCACTACTATGGTGGTGAATTCCTGGCTTCCTTGTCTTCTCGCGTATAGTTGTCATGCCTGTGATGAATGAGTAAAAGGTCTGAGTGAGGTCTGGTACACGGCAGAGCTCGGGCATTTCTGTGCAGTGCATATGCTGGCCTCTCCTCATTTACGCTTGTCATTGTGGAACTTGTGCAGAGGCAAGCACAGTTTTCTTTTCCGCAAGCACACATTACGATGGCCTGCTCTTTAAAGTAGCATGCCAGTGAATTCCTGCTGGTGTGCATTCAATATGCACAGGGCCGCACACATTCAGTAAGCTGAGAGCCGACAGTTGCTGCTGCTAATGACATCACGAGCTCTTATGTGACACTGGACCTTGCATGTGACTACAAACTTTATTCTGAGGCTGAGTGCCAAAGGCAGTGGTTAAACTGCCTTCGAAGTCGCTTTACCGTGAGCGAGTACGAAAAATTATAAACGTGTGAAAAAAAAATTGATTTCCTACTTCTTTGTTTTCATCTGCTGGAAGGAGATAGTGGAAGGCAGTTGAAGTGTGCTGTATTCTCGATTAAACAGTTAGCAGTTTTGAAGAATATGATGTAAACTAAATAGAAGTAATGCAGCTTTTTGTTCTGTATGTCTACCATGTACCTTCTATAAGATGTCTTTATTGTTATTGCTTTATAGGTTATTGGAAAAAGGTTCTGTGCAGTTGCTGAATTTTGCTTGAGCAAACTGTGACTCTGCTTTCTTCATTATGAACGATCTTCATGTTTTCTCTTTGGAACTAAAGGCCCCACCTCCGCTCAGGGGGGTCAGTTAGCCGAAATTCGCAGTGTCCGAGCGAGCAACGCAGGAACGAGAAGCGTCTTTAATGCACTGATTCAAAATATTCACAAACAGCCTTCCGAACCAGCTCAACACGACACTGACGCACAAAGGAATACCGAAAACCCGAAAGAAACAATCCCCCAGACTGGCGGTCAATGGGACATACACAGCGAAACAACGGCAGGAAAGCCAGCACGAAACATAACAGCTAGAAATAACACTCACACGCAACTCGCCGTAGACTACGGGCCATCGGCTCGCCTTATAGCCGACACCATCAAAACCGGAGAGGCGTCGCCTCTGTAGCACGCTCGGCGGAAACACCCCTTGCTCCTAGCGCGACCGACGCTGCATCCCATCGCTCGCCTGCCACAGAAAAAGCTCCTGGGCTTGTCTCGCACCGCTTCTTATCTTTTCCCCGCCTTTCCACCCCCTGTGGCCTTTTGGATGCTCACGCTCGTCTCGCGCATGTGCAATGCGCCTGTGTTTTCCTCGCCCTACTTCCACCATGCGTGCTACAGATAAGGGCCCATCGGCCCGACAGAACGAAGTTTCGATGATGTCTGTCTATCTGATGTTTTCCTGGAGCATTGTACTTATATTTTCTCTGGTTTTGCTCCTTGTCTGTCCGACGATGCGAGTCTGGGGTGAAGGCCTCGTCAGGAGGCATATGAGTTTCCTTTTGCCTTGCCTCGTGGACATATTTAATGTTGTTTGTGACTATTTCTGAAATAAACTATTCAATTGTATTATCCCTCGCTGACCTTATGGATGTGCAACTACGGAGCATTGCCCACGGAATTGTGTCTTTGAACATGATGTCACGGCTTCAATTCCAAACTGTGGTGGCCACATTTTGGTAGGGCCACGTGCAGAAATGCTCTTGTATTATAATTAGATGCAATTAATTCAATGCCTTCCATTACGGCACGTGTCTGAGCTGCAGGGTTGACTTAAAACATTATAGTTCCCCTAAGAATCAACCTAGACAGCCAACCCTGGTGAGGCACAGGGCATAATAGAAGGCTACCGCTTGAATGCATGTTTTACACTGATGCTGGATAAGGGGTAGTGTTCTTTGTTAACACCCACTTCACATCACCATTTGGTCTTGTCAGGGCCAGTGGCGGATGTGCACGATGGGAGGCCAAATGTTTGGCGAGGTCATCTGGGCCATCCTGACAGTGGCTGAAGGGGGTCTGCTGGCGGTCACCCAACAGATGGAGGCCTTCCACCAGCTAGGCTCTCCAACACACAACAGTGTCTCCTGCCCCACGGCCGTCAATCCCTTCGCATCGCCCAAAGGTAGTTTGACATGTTTGATCAGACCTCTATTTTGCGCGAGATTGTGTGTGGATGTGTGGATGTAGCACATTGTAGCCAAATGACAAGTCTCCATGCAGTCTCTTGTGCCATCTTGCTAGAGGTATGTTTATTTTGAACTTTGCAGAGCCAACCATGAACTTCATGGGCAGGTGCATATATTTTTTTATCGTGTGGTAATCGAGAGATGTGTGTAGTAGAAGTGGCTTAGCTTGACAGTGTATTCATACTGTGAAAAGGCAAACGAGGGATGTCTGATTACTGGATATGGGCCTCAGTTTCTTTCCCATGTATCGCTGTGCTGTTAATTCATTCTTTGAATCTCCAGTTTCAGCACCTGATGTTAAATTCAGTCATTAGGGTAGCTGTGTCCATGTTTCTGCTAAGCATTTTCAACTATGTTGGCACTTGGCAGCATAACAGCTTAGTCGAGTATGGTCTCCGAAACATTCACAAGCTGTTTTGATCTTTGTTAAAATTGTTCGCTTTCTGCCGTCATGGAGGCCATAGTTCTTGCTTGGTTCAACTGGGCTCTGCTAGATAGCACAACCTATTCAGCCTAACCAGGCGAAAACGGTAATTTGGACCAGTCGCACCATTCCCCAAAGTAATGCCAGGCATTTATTTTTTTTTTAAGTCAAAGAGAAAAAGACAAGCAGCATTTTATTGTATCTCTTGATGCACAGAAGGTTTCTTTTTTTTTATTGCAGCTAGTTTAGTTACTAGTGATTAATTGTAGTTGGACGCTTTCAAGTCATCGGGGTCATTTCCAAAATATCCCACTTATGGGGCCCGTCGTGTGGTACATTTAGCTTAATTTCTTGGTAAGGAAGGCATTGTTGTTGATAATATTGCTGCTTTAGACATACATTGAGCTTTCACTCTGACATAAATTGTTATTTGCCTTTAGTGTCCATTAATGAGCGACTTAGTTGCATTATAAATTTGTCATTATTGTGAACAAAATTTGGAAGTTTTTTAACTTTTATTTGTGCAATGTTATATTGTTGAATTGGATGTGCCGGACATTGTTTTATTTAGGCATGCGTTTGCAGCTGCAGAGTTTCCCACAACATGTGAACAGTCACTCTCACCATACCCGGGCTTTCCTGTCACCCGCATTGACTGCCCTGCCGTCTGTGATGTGCAGAACAGTAGTGAACCTCATTCTCCCATGCAGTCCGGCATCCGTGATCCGGTGAGTGCCATTTTCTCTTGCACTTAGGGATGAGTACCCCCGCACTTAAGGGGGGACATGGTTCTTAAAGCTCTCTCATTTATCTTTGAACCAAGTGTAACAAAAGTTGGCATGCTTACATAGTTTGTTCTCGGAATTCTAAAAATGTAGTTATTTTTTCTGTAGCTTCATTAGTTAATTAAAGAATCAAGGTAAAAATTTCTATTGCTCTTATCATAATAGAAAAATAAACACCCGTCAAAAATTTATAAATAACATAGGGATTGACAGTAGAAAGCATAAGACATGCAACACAAGAAGCACTTTTTTGAATGGGTCATTATTTCTAACTTTACAGTACACTAAACTTCACAGCCCAGAATGTGGCCATTGTGTGGTCACACAAAAGACTAGTTTGAAAAACTTGCATCAAGAGTAATCAAATTCTGCTTCCTATGTTGTGTGCTCCAAACATATAGCATCATGCTGCAAATAAAATATTCTGCTATCTGTAATAGTTTCAGATATATTGCAGTAATTTTCATGCAGGGTGTACAAAATTGCCATTTTGAGAAAATTAAGAAAACAAAGAAGTCTAACATTTTTAACTGTAAAAATGTATGCTCTTATAATTACATAGCCATTGACATATAAATGAATGCTAGAAAGCCTAACGAGTGCAATGCTACAAGCTGATGGAAAATTAAACGAGTACTTCTCGAATTACAGCACAGTAAAGTTCATTACATGTAACCAAATACAGAAATTTTTATATTAAAATAAAAAATTGAAGCTGCCTATTAAAAATAGGCTCCCAGCATTGTTTTTTGTGCACATTTAGCTACATTGTGCAAAAACAATTACACCTCTAGCTGTCCTAGGTCCACTTTTACCGAACAAGCAAAAGAAAGTGGTCAAAATCTGCGCTTCGAGGATAATGCTGTTAAAACTTAATTTCGCCGTTTTGAGGGAAAAATATCATGGCACACATACTTTTAGTCAGTTAATATGCACCGGGAATGTAATAGGACTGATTGTTTGTACGAGCGTGTCATTTCTTCTAGTCCTGTAGCAAGTTGTCGCCGTGTGCTCGTCTGCCGCGAGGCCGCTTATCAGTTCGTTGGCTGTACTGACGGCGATGTGCGACAAATGTGCGTGCGTCATCCACGATCCATCAAATAATGTGGCAATGTTTTCCGGCTTGTCCAGAATAAGTTACCAGTTGCTCCCTCGCTCATCGATTTCGAGGCTGCACGAGTGCCAAGGTGTTAGTTTCCTTTTCACGTAAGACTGCCGCATTTTCGAGCAGAGATCGCGACAACGTTGAGAACACGTCGTTAAAAGCAGTCTACCTGTTGCCAGCAGCCTCTATTTCGGGGGTCGCGAGCATGTTCACTGCGAACGGATTGACTTTCTGATGTTGGTCGACGCGCGGCGTACTCCACTCTGACGACCCGTCGCGCAGTTCGAGGTCCTTTCGTCAGGCGAGGGGAACCACAACATCGGAGGGTTTAGCGATAAGACTGCACTTCCGTTCCGTCACTACAAAGATTGATATCTCTGGTAGCTTCACTTCTGCTTTTTACTTGCTGTCCTCTAATTGATGAGGCTGCAAAGCACAGCCATTCTCAGTAACGTTGTGGGCAACCAACAGGCTCGTATGTGAGTTAGGCCTACACCGGTGACTCGGCAACCGCCGTTGACCCCGTCGAGTTTGTTATCCTCGTTGTCCTGAGCCATAGCGGGGATCTTTATGAAGTTCACGGCAAACGATTGACCGCCACACCTGCTTCACAAATTACTGTAGCACTGAATTTCTTTACTGCCGCAAGCAGTCAGTAACACCATGACAAAATGGCGCATGTCCGTGCGCGTCACGATAGTGAAGCAGACGCCGAAAGCGCCCCTTGGCCAATCGGATGCCTAAATTTGGTCACGTGCCCCAAGCAGGCAATTGAATCGCGTGCTAGTGCTTCTCGATGACGCGTTTTTGCTAAAAAACCAATGAGCAAGGGGAGCCAGCAATGGCTGGAAATTGAAGATGAAGAACGACCCTTCCAAATGAGACCAAGATGAACACAATAGCTCGTGTTTAACGGCAATAGTTTGGTGCAGAAAAAGCGCGATTTGAGCGTCCATTCGCGCTCACATTCATCTCACAGGGATGTTATAAATTGATTTTACGCCAGAAATAATGACGTGAGAAGCTAGAAACTTCTCAGATAAGTGCAAAAATAGTCACAGATTTCGAAAATGTCAGCTTTAAAAAGTCGATTTTTTTGCGATTTTTGGCCGTCTAAGACCCGTGTCGCCCCTTAATGTGCTCATAATAACATGAAAGACGGAACAACTACTTTGCAAATAGAGGGCAGTTTTCCCCGTGCGTTGGTGTTTCAGCAGCAGTCACCGGCTTGAAGGGACACTAAAGAGAAAAAAGATTTTTTCGTGTATTAGAAAAGTGCAATTTCACAATCTCGGCAACACCACTGTTACTGCCACACGACGCTTGCTAAGCGAGTACTAATTGTGCGAAAAGAAAATGCGGGTGGAGATGCCACCTTGAGATTCCTGCATCAAACATCGTGGCATAGAAGATTTTGAAGGTGTTTTCTCTGCTCTACATACCTTCTGATCAATAAAAATGAAGTAAAGTGTTATTTGTTAGTCCCATACAGATTGCATACGAAGTGTCAGAAAATTTCGAGTCAATCTCGCTGTATACCAAAAATACATTTTCTGATTTCTGACGTCTCATGCGGATGTTTTGGCGTGAAAGTTAAGGGGGGATGCGGTTTTGGGATTGCAAAAGATGAAAAAAAATTAATTTTTGAAACTTGTTTTAAGTTTCTGGAACCCTTTTTCTATATGATTCCAATATATCTACGCTGAAGACAGTGCAGACGTGCTTCGTAAAATTCGTTTCACCTTCCTAGGTAGTGAAACTTTTTCTGGAAATCGCGGGAAACGGTGATTTTCAAAAACTTATAGCTTCGCGATGGCGTGGCTTTGAGCCAGCTTCTTGAACTCATCGGAAATAGCATTTTTCAGTGTTTAAATTTCTCGCCTGAGCCGGCTCTTTCCTTTAAAAACAAGGGCACAAAAAGCAAATGATGAAAGGTCGTTTCAAGGCCCTTGATTGGCTGTGGCCGCCATATTGTCTCAGCTCGCCTTGCCATTGGCCCAATGCTCGCTCCAGGGCTCTCGAAAATCGCTACTTCGTGACGTGTTCACAAGTCGACGATCACTTAGAATATAATTATGCTTTAGTTAGGAGCTGTAAGCGGATGCACAATCAGATTAATACGAGCTACGAGCAGGCGCGCGGTTTACAAGCGCGGCACGTCATCAGAGTCGTCTTTACCCCTAACTCCGCTGACGGCAAGACTGCAGGCAAGAACGACACGCTAGTACACTCGTGATGACCTGCTTCTTTGCAAGCAATGAAGCTGTAAGGGGATGCACAATCAGATTACTACAAGCGGTATGCAGTCTACGGGCGCTGTGTGTCATCGGAGTCGTCTTTACCCTTAGCTCCGCTGACGACAAAACTGCGGGCAAGAACAATGCGCTAGTAAACTCGTGGCGGCGTGCTTCTTCGCAAGCAACGAAGCACGTCTCTCGCTAGCTTCCTGTAACCGCGGACAGGCATTTTACGTATCGGTAGTGTACCCCACAGTCAAGCTTGTCACCCCCCCTCCTCCACTGCCAAAGATTTCTTGGAACAGCGGCTAGCAGTTCCGCGCGTCGTCACTCGAGAATGCAATACCAAGCGTAGTGTGCGGCGATTTTTTGTCGTCGTAGCTACACATTTCGCGCATCATCACCAAACGCCGCCACCAAGTGCATCACACGCCGGCTGCACTGTTCGGGCGGCCGCGCACTTCACGGTCATATGGAGTGCTGTCAATAAGCTTTTGTGATGCAATTTAGATGTGCTTGGAGCCATGCTTGGTATCGCTACAAGCGTCTATGAATGTTCTGAGACAATGAAAGCCTCGTAGGTTAGCTTTCCTGCGACCGGCCGTATGTTGATGCGTTTCACGGCTAGAGTGCAAAAAAGCATGTATGAAGCAGAGGCACAAATTTTCATATGCCCATTTTGCATCATTAAATATACTGCTAAAAAACTAAAAAATTCTTGTCTCACCAGTCTTCTGCTCATAACTTTAACATTTGGAAAGAAGGCATAGGCTGTCATGGTGCAAGCTATTTTTCTGATGCAATAAACCTCTCTCTATATAAAAATGTTCAGTGATTATTTGTAATCAAGTACTTAGCTACGCTAATGACAGCTTGAACACAAGAAATATGTGTAATCCTTTCAGTATATGCTCTTATTCAATTACAATCTTTTCTGTCATGGCTATCACACCTCTCCTTCATACAAAGAACTTGGTTTGAAATTCATAGTTGTTCTTTAAATGAAGAAAAAGAGATAATAAAGAAAAAAGAAGGCAACAAAGGCACACTGGTTAGAGACCACATGACTGAGAAGTCAAGTATGGCAAGACAAACCTGAGATCAAAAATTTTAGGTGTTTTAGAGACGTAAAGAGAAGTTGAAACTTTAAACACAGTTATATCAGTACTGCTTTTGGGCATTATGCTCAGCCCCTCCACAAGGTTCAATGAAGAAATAATTTGTCCCTCATTAAGTATCTATGGTATCGCCTCGAAATATTTATGGAAGCACTGTGAGGCCATTGTTAGTATCTGTGCCAATTTTCATCAAAATCTGACCAGAAACAAGAAAGCTCGTCGAAAAAAAGCTTGTCGAAAATTTCGACAGGCTTTTTCTTACAAGTGTGTTATAGACATAGTGCATTGCTCATGGAAAGTGTAGCACGTGAATGACTGGACTGATTTTGATACAGTTTTTTTTTCCTGAAACCGAAAACATTTCTTGAGGGTCTGTTAATCATTGAACTCTTGTTTATGGCCCAGTTTTTTTTCTAGATGACTTGTACATGACACTGTTCCTGACAATGTGTGTAGGCAGCCATGATGATCTCTAATAAAAAG